CACTCTGAGGATCCCCGTGGAAATCAAATCTTCACCCGACTTCAATGTGCGCGTATGCGACCGTTTCGACGCAAAGCTTTCTGCCGTGCTTCGAGAACTCGACGAGAGCAATCGATCCGTCCAAAAATCAGCCGAATCGACTCCGATTTGACCGAGATAGAGAGTTCTGAAGTTTGGTGGGGACCCCCCAAACCAGTGGTTGATTTCCACACAGGCGGCGCGTCCAAGCCCACGGACCGGCACCGCGCGCCCCGGGGCGACGCGCCCCTGCCGCGGCCCATCGTCGCGTTCGCCGTGGAGAACGTCAAGAAGGCGCGGCAGCGCGCGGACCGCGTCGCCGAGGCGCGCGCGCGGAACGCGCCGGACGCGGCGGCCGGGCCGTCGCGCAAGGAGCGGCGCACGGCGAAGCGCATCGCGAACCGCCTCGAGAAGAAGCGGCGGGGCGGCGCCGCGCCCGCGGCCGCGGCCGCGCCGGAGCGGCCCGCGAAGCGCGCCAGGGCCGCGCCGCGCGCGGACGCGCGCGCCGTCGCCGACGGCCTCGACGACGCGGTCCTCGACGACGTCGCGCCGGCGCCGCGGCCGAAGAAGGGCCGCAAGCGCCGCGGGCCCGACGCCGTCGACGACCACGCGAAGCGCCGCGGCGCCGCGACGGCCGCGGCGGACGACCTCGCGAAGCGCGTCGGCTCGGACGCGCGCGCGGCGCTCGCCGCGGGGACGCGCGCGCGCTGGTTCGCGTAGAACGGCCGCCTCGAGAACGGGGGATGTTAGTCACAGGGGAGGGGGCGCCCTACGCCTTCTTCGCGTCGACGACGTCGTCGATGCCGACGGTTCGGTTGATGCCGAAGAGGCGCACGCCGTGGAGGAGCGGGAGCTTGGGCAGCACGCAGAAGAGGGCGTAGACGGGGAGGTTGACGGCGATGTCGTGCTTCGCGAAGCCCGCGGCGTTGAGCTGCGCGAGGAGCATGAACGTGGGCACGGCGAGGAAGATCTTCTTCGTCGGGCTCTCGAAGACGGACGCGTCGTCGAGCTGCTCCCAGACCGTGAGGCCGTTCCAGGCGCCCTGGGCGTGCGTGTCCGGCGAGCCCTTGGCCCAGTGGAAGAAGAAGAAGGTGATGAACGCGTGCGCGCAGTTCGCCGCCGAGAGCGACTCGGCCGTCGAGTAGCCCGAGCCGTGGATGGCGCCGTAGACGACGAGGAGGATGAGCACGTAGGTGACGACGAAGCGCGTGCTGTCGAACTGGAAGCACTCCACGGCGACGTTGCGCGCCGGGTCCACCTTGTCGCCCCCGAAGTAGTGGTCGCTGTAGGACCGCTTCATCGCGGGCGGCGCGCCGTCGACGGCGAGCGGCGGCCTCGTGCGCGGCGGCGGGCGATGCCGCGGCGGTCGTCCCGGGGCGGCGGCGGGGGGGCTTTCGCGGATGGTGGCAGCGCGCGCGGGTTGCGTGCGGCGCGGCTGCGGCGGACGAGACGGCGGCCGGCTTCGTCGACTGCACCTCGGCCGAGGATGATGGCCGTCGCGATGCGGCGAGCAGCGACGATGGCGCGCGGCCGCTGCGCGGTCCGCTGCAGCAGCAGCATCCCGGAAGACTTCGCCATCGACGCGACGCCGCCGCGGTCGTCCTGGACGGCGACCGGCGGCGAGGCGCCGGCGCTGGCGCCCGGCACGGAGGCGACGACGCTCGCGAGCGGCCTGCGGGTCGTCTCCCAGGAGACCTTCACCTACATGAGCGCCATGGGCCTGGTCGTCGGCGCCGGGTCCGCGCACGAGCGCGCGGCGCTGGGCACGGCCGGCGGCGCGCAGCTCGCCGAGGTCTGCGCGTGGCGGGGGACGACGAAGCGGTCGACGGCCGACGTCCTCGCGGCCGCGGAGCGGTCCGGCGCCTACCTCCACGCCAACGCCCAGCGCGAGCAGACGTTGTACTGCGTCGACGCGCTGCGCGACAACGCCGTCGCCGCGGGCGAGCTGCTGGCCGAGGCCGCGCTGCTCGGGCCGGACCTGTCGAGCGCCGAGGACCTCGACGCGGCGAAGACGTCGCTGCTGCTCGCCTGGGAGGACGCGCCCCAGGACGCGCGCGTGCGCGAGCTCATCCACGAGGCCGCCTACGGGCGGACCTCGCCGCTGGGCGCGCCGCTGCTCACGCCGCCGGACGAGGTCGCCAAGCTCGACGCGCTGACGCTGGCGAACTTCCGGTCGACCCTCTTCGGCCCGGACCGCATGGTCCTCGCCGGCGCGGGCATCGACCACGCGACGCTCGTCGGCATCGCGGAGACGTACTTCGAGCCGTTCGTGCCGCCCCGGGGGCCCGCGCCGCCGGCCGCGCCGTCGCCCTACGTCGGCGGCGGCGCGACGCGCGAGGAGAAGGCGCCGACGCCCGCGGGGTTCGCCGTGGACCTGGACCCGCCCGTGCGCGTCGCCGTCGCCATGCGCGCGCCCCTCGGCGGCTGGCACGGCGACGACCTCATCCCTTTGTGCGTGCTCCAGACGCTCTTGGGCGGCGGCGACTCGTTCTCCGCGGGCGGGCCGGGCAAGGGCATGTACTCGCGCCTCTACCGCGAGGTGCTCAACCGCCACTACTGGGTCGAGGGCGCGGAGTGCTTCGTGTCCGTGCACGACGCCGAGGGTTTGCTCGGGATCATGGGCGCCGCGCCCGCTGCGTACGCGGGCCACCTCACGGAGGTGCTCGCGGCGCACCTCCTGCGCGTCGGCGCGGAGCCCGTGAAGCGCGACGAGCTCGACCGGGCGAAGAACATGCTCAAGGTGAACGTGCTCACGCAGCTCGAGAGCCGCTTGGTGCTGTTCGAGGACCTCGGCCGCCAGTACGCGACGTTCGGGAAGCGGCAGACGCTCCGCGAGATGACGGACCTCGTCGACGCCGTCACGGAGGAGGACATCCTCCGCATCGGCGCGACCATGCTCTCGCGGCCGCCGTCCATCGCCGCGCACGGCGAGGACCTCTCCAAGGTCCCGGCCTTCGACACCATCAAGCAGTGGCGCCTCAAGTAGGCGCCGCGCCTAACCTCGGTTTTCGCTTCCTTGCTTCGCCCCCGGCTCCGCGCGCGAGCGGGGCCCCGCCGGGGGCCGCGGCCGCGGCGCTAGCCGCACTTGCCGCCGCAGGGCGAGAAGATGCCCGCGAACGGCGACGCGCGCTGCTCCGGCGACGGCGTCGGCGGCGCGGGCCGCGCGTGGTGCGCGGGCGACGGGCGCCGCGAGGGCGGCGTCGACGGCGCCGCGCCGGACGCGGCGAGCGACGCGTACTCGGACGCGCGCGCCGCGGCGCCGTCGTCCCGCGCCTCGGCGTCCCCCGCGTCGCCGCGGCGCGCGCGCTCCTTCGCGGGGCTGAAGAAGAGCCAGTCGATCGCCTTGGCGATGGGCGACTGGCGCGGCGGCGGCGGCGGCGGGCTGAACATGGGCGCCTCCGTGTAGCTCCGCCACCTGGGCAGCACAAGAGTGATTCAACGTCGCTTCAACGTGAGTGTTTCGCGCGCGCGCGTTACGGAAAACACATCCACGCTTCGAGACCGTTCCGAGAGTTGATCGCTCGTCCAAAAATCAGCCGAAACGAGTGGAAAATGGCCGAGATCGGAGCCTTTGAAGTTGGGAATTTCGCTCTCTTGTGCTGCCCTGTCCGCCACTCGGCCGCGACGCGGTCCGCGTCCCGCGACGCCGCCGCCCGGTCCGCGAGCGGCGACGCGCCGGGGAAGTTGCCGCTCGCCGTCGCGCGCGGCAGCCGGCCCTGGACCGAGTCGCGGAGCGAGTCGTCGACCTGCGCGATGAGGCCGTCGAGGTCCTCGTCGTCGCTTTCCGGCTTGGTCGGCGTCCGCTCGCGCTCCATGCCCTGGAAGCCCTCGCGGTCCGCGAGCGACGACGGCGAGTAGGTCAGCGACTTGTTGGGCGTGGGCTCGGCCGGGGCGTTGTCCCGGTCGTCCTCGCCGCTCCCCCCTTGGGTGAGCGACGAGTCGTCGGAGCACGACGTCGAGGACGTGTGATTTGACGCGTCCATCGTTTTCACCTTGATGCGTGGAGGCAACCAGTGGACGGACGCTGGACGTAGTTTTCACAAGAAACTGCCACAACGCGGGGCGAGCAGTGCTGAGGCGAGGCCGGTGCTCGAGGAGAGCGCGTCGACGCCGCAGAGCTCGAAGGCCGTCGACGCCGCACGATGCGCCTACCGCGCGCGTCGACCTTGCTCGCGCTGGGCCGCGGCGGCCTGCCGCGCGCGTCGCCGCGGCTGCTGCCGTCGATGCGCGCGGCGTCCGAGGGCGTGCGGGAGGGCGAGGTCGGCGTCTACGGGCCGCCGATCCCCGGGCAGGCGCACGACAAGCGCTGGGGCCCGAGCTACGTGCTCAACGACGGGACGAACCACCCGATGATCGGCTTCGGCACCTACAAGGTCGGCTTCATCCCCGCGTCGGCGTCGGCGGCGGCGGCGGGCGACGAGGCGGCCGGCGCACAGGGCCCGTCGGCGGCGGACATCGTCGGGGACGCGCTCGCCGTCGGCTACCAGTTCCTCGACTGCGCCCAGTTCTACGGCAACGAGAAAGAGGTCGGCAAGGCCATCTCCCGGTCCGAGTGGTTCGACCGCGACGACCTCTACCTCGCGTCCAAGGTCTGGACGGACGCGATCTACGAGGGCCGCGCCGCCGTGCGGAAGCAGATCGACGCGACGCTCAAGGCGCTCCGCACGGACCGCCTCGACCTGTACCTCGTGCACTGGCCCGTGCCCGGCAAGCACGTCGACGCCTACCTCGAGCTCCAGGACGCCGTCAAGGCGGGCAAGATCACGTCCATCGGCGTGTCGAACTCGGCGTCCTGTGACGATTTTCGATAGATTTCGGCTGGGAAAACAATGAACAATCGTTACCGTCATGCTTGGTAGGTCGAACTACGCCGCGGAGGACGTCGACGAGCTCCTGGACCACCCGGGCGTCTACATCACGCCGGCCGTGAACCAGATCGAGCTCAACCCCTTCCTCTACCGGCCGAAGACGCTGCAATACATGGCCGACAAGGGCATCGTCGTCCAGGCGTACCGCGCGCTCCGCGACGGCAAGGCCTTCGAGGACCCGACGGTGCTGCGCGTCGCGGCGAAGCACGGCAAGACCGCCGCCCAGGTCATGGGCGCCTGGTGCCTCGCCAAGGGCGCGGTCTACATGCCGAAATCCACCAAAAAGGCGCGCATGGTCGAGAACGCGGACGTCGTCTCGTTCCAGCTCGACGGCGACGACCTCGCCGCGCTCGACGCGCTCACGACGGAGGACGCGCTCGCCGCCTTCAAGGCGCTCTACGAGAAGTGCGTCGTGCGCGACACGCCCCTGCCCGAGGACGACCCGGGCATCAAGCGCGACATCACCGCCGGCTAGGCAAAAAAGCGATCGTAAGGCCGGGAGCTCACGGCAGGTGGATGACGGACTTGATGACGTCGTCCGGCGGGTCGCAGGAGAAGTCGAAGGCCGCGACGCTGTCCGCGAAGTCCCAGTGGTTCGTGATGATGGGCTTGACGTCGATGAGGCCGCTCTCGAGCATGGCGATGGCCTTGGCGTAGACGTGCGCGTAGCGGAAGACCGTGAGCACGCGCATCTCGCGGACCTGGAGCTCGCCGATGGGCAGCGCGCAGTCCGGCGGGCAGCCCACGAAGACGGCCTTGGCGCCGGGGCAGCCCAGGAAGGGCACGAGCATCGCGCCGGGCGCGCTGCCGGAGCACTCGACGACGACGTCCGCGCCCCAGCCGCCCGTCGCGGCCGAGGATCTCCGCGGCGACGTCGCCCGCCGCGTCGAGGCCGACGATCTTGCCCGGCGCGAGCGACTCGGCGACGGCGAGCTTCGCCGGCGACAGGTCCGAGAGGTAGACCTTGGAGCAGCCCGCGGCCAGCGCCGACAGCGCCGTCAGGAAGCCGATGGGCCCCGCGCCGACGACCGCGCAGACGTCGCCCGGGCGGATCTCCGCCATCGTCGACGCGTGCATGCCCACGGCGAGGGGCTCGACCATGGCGCCCTCGTCGAGGCTCACGTTGTCCGGCAGCTTGAAGGTGTAGTTCGCCGGGTGCACGACGCTCGGCCGCAGGCAGCCGTGGCCCGCGGCCCACGCCGGGTCGTCCAATAGATTTCGCGCGTAGGGCGGCGTCGCCCAGAAGCGCAGCTTGCGGCACAAGTTGTACATGCCCAGGCGGCTCTCGGCGCTGGTGGGGTCGGGCACGCCCGGCTCCATGCAGACGCGGTCGCCGACCTCGAGATGCGTGACGTTCGCGCCGACCTCGGCGACGACGCCGGACGCTTCGTGTCCCAGGATCATGGGCTGGTTCACGACGAAGGGGCCGATGACGCCGTGCTTGTAGTAGTGCACGTCCGAGCCGCAGATGCCCACGGACTTGATGTCGATGCGCACGTCGTCGGCCGTGAACGGCTCGCTCACGTCAATGTCGCGCAGCGACAGCTTGCCGACCTCCTCGAGGACGACGGCCTGCGTCGTCGCGAGGCGCTTCGTGAGCGTGGTGCGCGCGGCGCGCAGCGTGGAGGCCAGCATGGTTCCTGGCTGCTGCAAGAGGCTGCGAGCTGCTTGCGACGAGCTGCGAGAGGTGTGGCTGCGACGAGCTGCGACAGTGATTCTTGCCACAGGCACAGCACCATCGCAGCACCATAGTGCACCATCACGGCGATCAAGATCTTGCTAGACGAGACAGCTTCGTCGGCTGCGAGCACCCGGGTCCGCGGCAATGGACGCCGGGGCGCCCGCCGCCCGCCGGGCCTGGCGGCTCTCCGAGGAGGAACTCGCGGCGCTGCTCGCCGTGGGCCGCGTCGAGGACGCGCGCCGCGCGACGGACGCGGAGCTGCGCGCGTCGGGCCTCGACGCGTCGCTCCTCCGCAAAGTCTTCGCGGGGCGCCGGCGGGAGGCGCTCGCGACGTGGCTGCGCGAGGCCCGCGGCGTCGAGGGCGCCGACGCCGCCAGGGTCCTGGAGGTCGCGGGCCGCGTCGAGGACGTGGTCCGCGCGACGCCGGCGGAGCTCGCGCGCGCGGTCGGCGCGGACCTCGCGGCGCGGCTCGCCGGCCGCGCGCGCGCCCCGCCGCCGGCGTCGGCGTCGCCGCGGGGCGTCGAGGAGGAGCGCCCGGCGAAGCGGCGGAAAATAACGCTCGCGACGTGCGCGGACGTGCTCGGCGCCGCCGGGTCGACGCAGCGGCCGACGGACGACTCCGGCTTCCGCCGCGGCTTCGAGTCCCTGGAGCGGAAGCTGACGGAGAAGGTGCGGGTCGACGGCGACGCCGTCGTCGCGGCCGTCGCGCTGAAATCGGGCCTCGTCCCGGACCCCGGCGCGGCCCGCGTCGAGTCGGACGCGGGCGTCGCCGATTCCGATTTGGTGTCAGTGAGCGGCGCGCTCTTCCGCGTGGCCTTCGACGACGCCGTGTCGCGGAGCGCGCTGCTCCGCCGCTGCGACCCGGCCGAGGCCACCGTGGAATTCGCCGTGGAGCACCGCGGGCGGCCCGTGCTCGCGTGGCGGGTGCTGCGCGACCTCCGGCCGGGCGACGAATTGCTCGTCGGCGACGACGACGGCGACGTCGGGTTCTGCGCGGCGTGCAGCCGGGGCGCCCACTCGGCGCACACCTGCGGCCGCGGCGCCGCGCGCGCCGCGCCGCCCCCGGCGCCGCGGCCCGTTTCATCGCCCGCGCGGCGCTTTTCGCCCGCGGACCGCGTCACGTGGCTCTGCGCGCTCTTCCCCGGGCGGCGGGCCCCGGCGCGCGGCGCCGCCGTCAGGGTGCCGCTCTGCATGCTGCCCGCGGGCGGCCTCGACGAGGACGGGGAGCAGGAACCCTTCCGCGCGCACGCGTGGTTGGCGCGCGCGCTCGGCGCCGGCGACGTCGCCGGCCCGCTCCTCGCGCGGCTCGAGGCGCTGCCGTGGTTCGCGGCCTGGGCGGCGCGCGCCGCGCCGGACATCGCCCACGCGCGCGACGTCGGCGACGCGGCGCGCTACCTGCGCGACGCGCAGCGCGCGCTCGCGCGCGGCGACCGCGGCGGTGGTGCGGCGGACGTCGACAACATCGACGGCCGCGTCCCGCCGGCCCTGCGGCGCCGCGTCGTCGCGCACTACCGCGCCAACGGCTGCGGCCTCGCGTGCGCGCTGTGCGCGCCCGCGCGCCTCGAGCGCCTGGGGCAGGTCTACGCGGCGCGCCTCGACGCGCTCGCGGCGGGCGGGGGCGGCGCGCTCGCGGACCACGCGGGCCGCTGCCCGCGCCGCGCCGCGGCCGCGCCGCCGGACCCGCGCACGCGCCTCGGCGCGCTGCTGGGCGTCGACGCGTCCGGCGACGGCGGCGCGGGGGACCTCGAGGCGCTCGCGCGGCTGCCGCAGGTCCGCGCCGCGCCGCGCTGCGCCTTCCCGGGCTGCGACGAGGCCTGCGACCTGCTCCGCCACTTCGACGCGTGCCGCGCGGAGACGTGCCGCGTCTGCGCGCCCGCGCGGCGCCGCCGCGACGAGGCGAACGACGGCGCGCGCGCGGCCGCCGCGGCCGCGGCGGCCGCGGCCGCGGCGCCGCCGCCGGCCCGCGAGCTCCGCGTCGTCGATGGCGCGCTCCGCTGCGTCGCCGCCGCCGAGGGTGGGCGGGAGGTCCCCGCGCCGGCCTCTGCGCCGCCGCCGCCGCCGCAGGCCGCGCCGCCGGCCACGACGCTGCAGTCGGCCGCGGCCGCGACGCCGCCGCGCGCGGCGGCTCCGGCTCCGGCGGCCGCGGCTCCGGCGGCCGCGGCGGCTCCGGCTCCGGCGGCTCCGGCGGCTCCGGCTCCGGCTCCGGCGGCCGCGGCTCCGGCTCCGTCGGCCGCGGCGCCTCCGGCTCCGGCGGCCGCGGGGGCTCCGGCCCCGGCGGCCGCGGAGCCGTTCCCGTTGGAGGTGAAGGGGTTCGCCGGGGTCTCGCGCGTCGGACTCTCGCCCGCGACGATGCGGGGTCTGCTGCGCCGCCGCGACGGCGAGGGCGCGCCCGCGGCGCCGCGCGACGACGGCGTCTGCGCGGACTGCGGCCGGAGCCCGGGCCGCTGCGCCTGCGACCTGCGCTTCGGCGCGAGCGCGTGCCGCGCGGCGCCCGCCGGGCCGCCCGCGGCGCCGCGGCGCGCCGCGTCGATCCAGCGCGGCGACTCGAAGCTCCGGGCGATGGAGGCGCGGCGCCACGAGTACGAGGAGCGCGCGCGCGCGGCGATCTCGCCGGCGCCGCGGCCGTCGTCGCCGGAGCCGCCCGGCGCGGCGGAGCCCGCCGCCCTCGACTGCACGCCGGCCAGCGCGCGGTGGGCGTCGGAGCTCGTGTCGTCCTTCGCCGCCGGAAAGAGGGACGCGCCGCCCTACTTCCGCAACCTGCTCGCGGAGGTCTGCAGCCCGACGAACCAGGCCCAGGCGGACGAGGTGAACGAGGCCATCGACGCCATCTTCGGTGGTGCTCCGCCGGCGGCGGCGGCGCGTCCTCCGGCGTCCGCGGCGCCCTTTCGGGCTCCGCCGGCGCGTCCTCCGGCGGTGGCGCGGCCTCCGGCTCCGGCGGCGCCCTTTCGGGCTCCGGCGGCGCGTCCTCCGGCTCTGCCGGCGCTGCCGGCGCGTCCCCCGGCGTCCGCGGCGCCCTTTCGGGCTCCGCCTCTTTGGGCTCCGCGTCCTCCGGCTGCGGCGGCGCCTTATCGGGCTCCGCCGGTTCCGGCGGCGCCGCCGGCGCGTCCTCCGGCTCCGGCGGCGCCCTTTCGGGCTCCGCCGCGGGCGCTCCCGATGCCGCGGCCGCCGATGCCCGTGCCGTTGCGCGTCCAGCTCACGCTCGACGAGAACAACATCCCGACGGCGACCCTGTGATCCATCCTGAACGCGCAATACTCAACCCTCGACGCGCTGTGACCAAAGCCTCGACGCGCCATACTCAATCGAAACCGCCGACCGACCGATCCCCGTGTGTTTCGTCGCCCGCATTGTGCCCTGTGACGTTGTGTAATCCCCCACTTGTACCTTCAAATCTACAGGTTGCAGTACAACACCCAAAACGGTGAAGGGGAAAGGAACGTAGGAACGGGATCATGAAACAATTTCGTATGATCTGAAGCAGCCCATCATGGCCGCGATGCAGTTGCCCGCGGCGCGCGGCGTCGCCGACACGCTGTTCTCGGTGCTGCCGCGCGCGGCGGAGCTCGTCGTCTGGGACCTGCTGCGCGTGGCGCTCAGCCCGATCCTGGGCTTCGGCGGGAGCAAGGCCGAGCCCGGTCCCGACGTCCCCGTCATGCGATGGTACCAGGAGGCGGTCCTCGACCCGGACAGCCTCCAGGCGCGCGCCGGCCGGCCCGTGGGCTTCAAGGGCGTCGGCCGGAACCAGCACCTCAACCGCCGGCTCTACGTCGCCGCGGGCCGCGGCGACGCCGGGGCCGTCCGAAAACTCGCGAAAAGCGGCGCGGACGTCAACGCGCGGCTCTTCCAGCTCATCAACTACCTCGACGGCTCGAACGGCCAGCCGAGCGGCCACGGCGTGCGCCTCTCGGAGTTCCGCGGGCGGTGGATCGACCAGCGGCCCGACTGGAACGTCGCGCGGTGGGGGCGCGCGGGCGACCCGGCGGCCATGACCTACGCGTCGCGCACGGCCCTGCACGAGGCCGCGAAGCGCGGCTGCGCGGCGACGGTCGCGGCGCTCCTCGAGCTCGGCGCGAGCCCCTACTCGCGGGGCGAGGGCCTGCGGACGCCCGCGCAGGAGGCGCTCGAGTCGCGCGCGGGCGACTTCGCCGCGTGCGCGGCCATGCTCGCCGCGGCGGCGGGCGGGGCGGCGTGCGAAGCCGGCGAGGCCGGCGCCGCCGACGCGGCCGCCGAGGACGTCGACGCGCTCCGCGCGGAGAACGCGCGGCTCCGCGTGGAAGCCGCGGTGCTCCGCGCGGAGCTCGACTCGCGCGGCGGGGGCGCGATCCAATGAGGCCAGATGAAGATAGATGACGCGTGGCGTCACCTCCTTTGGTCTCCTCGGCGATTGTATATGCGAACCCGCCTAGCGCCGGCCGTCGTAGGACGCGCAGCCGTCGTCGACGCAGTCGTCGATGAACTGGTAGAGCGTGACGATGGGCGAGATGAAGAGGACGAAGTAGGCGCCGTACAAGATCGCCGTCGTCTGCGCGGCGGACACGGGCGCGTCGGCCTCGCCGCGGTCGAGGACCGCCGCGCGGTAGGCGAGGCAGGGCGCGACGAGCGCCGCGATGGTCGTCGGGATCTCGCCCGTGAGCGCGATGCAGAGCTCGAAGACGCCGTTGACCATGTCGCGCGGGATCGACGCCATGAGCGCCAAGGGCCCGAAGACGAAGCAGAACGTCGTGAAGACGTGGCGCTGCTCGGGCATCTGGAGGTAGTTGACGCCCCAGGACCGCCAGAAGAAGAGGCGGCCGATGATGAAGTCGTTGGGGATGTAGAAGCACAGGTGCGCGATCGTGCACCCGTAGAGGACCTTCACGAGGATCGTCTTCGAGTCCAGCGACGAGAGCACGTCGCTGTCGACGTCGGAGCCGATGGCCGCGACGCCGCCGAGGCCCATGACGAGCAGGATGGAGCAGCCGCAGCCCACGGCGCCCGCGACGACGGACTTGACGGCCGGCCGCGACGTCGCCTCCATGGACGCGTACATCTCGAAGACGACGTACTGCATCGACGTCGCGTAGACGAAGTTGCCCAGGAGCGTGACGGGGGCGTACCAGGAGTCGGGCCCCGCGGGGATGGCGTGGCCCTTGTCGATGCCCTTGCCCATGACCACGAGCGTCGTGAAGACGATGAACGAGAGCGACAGGAGGCTGATGGGCGTGAGCTCGCCGTATTCCCGGAAGAAGCAGGGCGGCGCGGCGACGAGGCCGACGACGACGAACATGAAGCCCGCGTAGGTGTCGACGACGAGCTCCGCGCCGTCGTCGTGGCGCACGGATTTCAGGAGGTCGCTGCCGAGCGTGCCGATGACGTTGTAGTACGTCAGCAGCGCCCCCAAACAGCTCAGCGCGATGCAGATGTCGACGCCCTTGCGCCAGGGCACGCCCAGCGTCTTCTCGATGACCTCGCTGAGCTCGCCCTTGGGGTGGCCCACGGCCTGGCCCACGCGGAGGAGCATGATGCTTGTCGCGTAGCAGACGACCGCGCTCAAACCGAGGAGCAGGATGCTGAGGATCCAGCCGCAGTTCGCGAAGACGTAGGGGAAGCTCAGCACGCCCGAGCCGATCATGGAGTTCAGGACCTGGACCGTCGAGAATGCCGCGTTGTTCAGCTCCTTGGGCCGGTCGTGGCGGCTCTCGTCGGTCCAGCGCGGCATGTTGCGCGCCAGGAGCGACCGCCCGAGGCCGTCGTCCTTCTCCGGCCGCATGGGGCTCGCCGTCGTATCCATGAGCGGCACCGACTCTGCCCCGCGGTTCCGCAGGTCCATGCAATGGGCCCGCGCCCTACCACCAGCGTTTTGTTTGGTGACGAGGGGCTGCCCCTCGGCATTCGAAAAGTAAAACAAGTAACTTGCAGCTTTTTAGCGCGTCCCCGTGCCACGACCCGCGCGCCTACCGAGCTGCTCGCGCCGAGCGCCTAGCTGACCCATCCCGCCTTGCGATGGCGCCCCTGCACGAAGCTGCGGAGAACGGAGATGTAGCTCGGATTGGTTCACTCATCGCGGCTGGGCACGACGTGAACGAGCGGGATAACCACAACACTCCGTTGCATCGGGCCGCTTGCTATGGGCGACTCGCTGCTGCGGTCGCATTGATTGGCGCCGGCGCCGGAATAGATCCACGCGACGTGCATGGTTGGACGCCCTTGCATGGTGCCGCTCGGCATGGATGGTCGCGAGTCGTGTCCGTCTTGATCGCTGCTGGCGCGGACGTGCGTGCGGAGACTGACGCTTCTACGACCATTTGGCGCATGGCTCATCTTCAAAATGGGGGGAGCGAGACTCGCCGCATTTTCAAGCTCCTGCTCCGTGCTGGAGCGTCTTTTGATGATAGCCATAAATATCTGCTTCGGGGACCCGCGCTCGCGTTCGTCGAATCGGTCGAAGCCGCGGGCGGCTGGGAGGAGTTCGTTCTCAAGCACCGCGCAGTCCTCAAGTCCATCGTCTCCAAGTGCGCCCCCGTCCCCGACGACTGCCTCCTCGCGATCGCCGCCTTCGTGGCGCCGCCGGGCGGCTGGTGAAGCGCGTGACTAAGAACACCCTTCCAAGAAAGAAAATTTACCAGCGCTTCTTCGTCTTGCGCTTGGGCTTGGCGAGGGCGGCGATCTTCTCCGCCGCGTGGTCGCGCGCCGCGTCGAGGGTCCGGGCCTGCCGCTCCGTGAGCGCCGCGCCGTGCGTCGCCTTGACGAGGTCGAGCTGGTCGAGCGCGAGCTTCGGGAAGCGGAGGCGCGCCAGGGCCTCGGCGCGGCAGAAGAGGCCGTCGGCGTCGTCGGGCTCCGCGCGCAGGAGGCCCGGGCTCGGCCGGTCGCGCGCGAGCGCGTCGATCGCCGCCTGGGCCTCGCCGGACGCGAGCAGCGCGACGGCCGCGTTCAGCGCCGCGGCGCGCCAGAAGGCCCGCAGCAGCGGCGCGAGGCGCCGCGTCGCCCAGGGCGCGCCGCAGGCCGCGTCGCCGCCGGCGCACGCGTCCGCGTCCGCGAGATTCGCGAAATCGACGGCGACGTCGTACGCGGCGGCCGCGTCGCGCGCGCGGAGCCCCCGGAGCGCGAGGAGGCGGTCGCCGTCGCCCTTCCACTCGTGGGCCGCGAGGACGCGGCCCCAGAGCTTGGGCGCGATGCCCGGCGGCCGCGGCAGCACGCCGTCGTCGTCGTCGTCGTCGGACGACGACGCGTCGCCGAGCTCCCGCTTGAGCTCCGGCGGCTCCTCGGCGTCGAAGAACGCCACCGCCGGCGCCCAGCCGCAGACGACATCGTCGCCGTCGTCGTACTCGACCTCGAGCCACCGGGGCGCCATCGCGAGCATCTGCTGCGCGTCTCCGGACGCGCGCTCGCCCCAGCGCAACACGTGCTCTTTGGAGACGCCGTAGCGCCGGGCGACGACGCGCTCGCCGCCGCGCAGCCCCGCGGGCGCCGCGCCGCTCGGGTCCTCGACGGGCTCCTTGCCCAGGATCTCCGCGACGAGGCACGGGACGTCGTCGACGCACGTCACCCATCGGCAGCCCGGCCGCGGGATCTGGCCCCGGCGCGCCCAGCGCTTCTCCTTCTTCCAGTCGCCCCGCTGCGCCTCGCCCTCCATGAGCTTCTTGAAGGACTCCTGCCGCTCCTTGCCGAGGCCCGCGCCGCTGCCCCGGAGCTTCCGGAGGAAACGCAGGTAGAAGACGTCGTCCGCCGAGAGGCCCGGCGCGTCGGCCGGCGTCGCCGCCGACTTGTCGTAGAGGACGAGCTTCTCGATGGGGCAGAACAACGCCCAGGCGTCGGCCGTCTTCGGGGCGACGAGCGCCGCCGCGGTCCGCTCGTGGAGCCACGGTCGCACGAGGAGCCGCGCGAACCCGTCGCCGCCGGCCGCCTGAGCCGCCAGCGTCGCCGCGAGGGGCGCGTCGAGGTCGAGGCAGCGGCCGTCGAGGTCCACGAGGATCAGGCGGTCCGTGCGCCAGGGGCGCGTGCCGCGCTCGGCGCGGGCGAACCAGGCCAGCAGCTTGCCCGTGGCGTGCTTGGCCTGCAGCGCCGGCGACAGCACGAGCTTGAACGACGCGCTCACGTCGCCCTCCTTGTAGTGGAGGCACACCGTCGCGTTCGCCATCGATGCGTTGTGTGTGCTACGCGCTATGAGGCGGTGCGAAAGGCCACCATTGCCACAACCTTGGCAAGCATCAGCGAGCCGAGCCCGAGCGGCTCCTCGACGCGGCGCAGCACCGCCGACCGGGCGTCCGTCGACCGCCGCGCGCCTCATCGCTCCCGCATCGCTCTCGCGCGTCCTCGAGACGACACACGCCGCCGCGCCGCGCCGCTTCGAGCGCTACCGGCCGCGCGCCGCTTTCCCAAGCGCACCCTTTTCTCCGCCGCCACCATGGACGAGATGGACGACGAGACCGAGGACAAGAAGATGCTGAACCGCGAGGCGATGATGCACAACATGTCGGCCATCGACGGGTGCCGCTCCTACCTCACGATCTTCGCCGGCGTCGGCGCGGGCATCCTCGGGCTCACGTCGGTCCGCGGCGCGCTCGGCTTCATGGCCTCCTACGTCGCCATCTCCCTCGCGCTCCTCGTCGCGATGAAGGGCGACAGCATGGCCTACACGAACGAGGCCATCCCGAACCACGTCATCGGCGGCGTCGGCAAGTACGGCCTCTCCTTCGTCCTCTTCTGGACCCTGAGCTACGCCCTCGTCCACATCTACTAACCTCGTGTCCCTCGTAGCCGCGCGCGTGTGTGTGCTTTTCCGAGGCGACCGCAGACGCAGAGCGGCGGCAGCGGCGGCGTGGTGTGGAGGTTTAGTGAGCGGCAACATGGGTTCAAGGTAAGGATTGGTGAAGGCGCCGCAGTCATCGGCCGATGTGGCCTCACTCGAGCTGGTATTCCTAGTCCCCTCGCTTCGTCGGACGCCTAGACGGGGGTCCTGCGACAAACACGCCACAAAGCCTGAGCGACAGGCAACAAAAACCTCCGTCGCGATGTACCGCTTCGCGTGGTTCCGCGGCTTCGAGGCGTCGGACGCCGACACGCAAACGTCGTCGGGCCGCGGCGCCGCGCCGTCGCCCTTCAAGCGCTGGTTCGGCGAGGCCGCCGTCCAGCCCTACGACACGCTCCTCCTCGAGGGCGGCTGCGTCAAGGGCGTCGCCTACGCCGGCGCCGCGCACGCGCTGGAGACCGCGGGCGCGCTGGGGCGGATCCGCCGCTTCGCCGGGAGCTCCGCGGGCGCGATGGCCGCCGCGCTCCTCGCCGCGGGCATCAGCCCGGGCGACCTGACGACGATCCTCCTCGAGCTCGACTTCCAGGAGCTCCTCGACGGGGACACGCTCAAGGTGCCCGCGCGGCTGCAGGGCATCGTCGCGAACAGGGCAGGAAAAGAGTGCTTCAGGTTCGCCTCAGAATGAGCGTTCCGCGCGCGCGCGTTTCGGAAAAAGCATCCACGCGTCGAGAGCGCTCCGAGAGATGATCGCTCGTCCAAAAATTAGCCGAAACGAGTGGAAAACGGCCGAGAGAGGAGCCTCCAAAGTTGGGAATTTCGCACTCATTCCCTGCCCAGGTCGCGAACCACACGTCGCTCGCGGAGACCGTGTCGGCGTTGACGACGGAGCTGCTCAACGGGTTCCGCAACGAGGACTCGGACGAGGTCGAGTACAAGTCCGTGACCTACAACCCCATCGACCTGGGGAAGCGGCTCGTGACGGAGTACGGCCTCTTCAAGGGGCAGCGGCTCGAGGAGCACATCGAGGCGCTGCTCTTCCAGGCGACGGGCGTCGCACACGTCACGTTCCGCCAGCTGCGGGAGCTGCGGCCGGACGTCGCGCTCCGGCTCACGGCGACGTCGATCACGCACCAGCGGGTGACGTACTTCGACGTCGTCGCGACGCCCGATCTGGCGATCGCGCGCGCCGTGCGCGCGTCGTCGGCGGTGCCGCTGCTCTTCGCGCCCGTGGAGATCGACGGCGAGCTTTTTGTGGACGGCGGGCTGCTGAAGAACCTGCCCTACGACGCCTTCGACCTCGAGGGCCACCCGACGCTCGCGCTGTCGATCCGGACGCCGACGGCCGCGGAGCTGCAGTCGAAGGACGACGACCGGAAGCTCGCGCTGCCGACGTTCTCCACCTTCTTCGCCGCGCTCCTCGAGACGCTCACGTTCGGCGAGGGGTCCGCGAACTGCCTGAGCCACGCGCTCGTCCGCGACGGGCTGGATTTGGTGGAGCTCGGGGTCTACGAGTACGGCGCGGCCGGCCTGGGCTTCGACGTCACGCGCGCGGACAAGCTCAAGATGATCGAGGCGGCCCACGACGCCGTCCGGGTCCACCTCGAGGCCGCGGAGCGCGACGGCGGCCTCTTCGAGGACCGCCGGCCCTGGGAGCCGCGGGACCCGCTCGACCTCGACGACGACCGCGACGACGCGACGTAACCGCGCTTTTATGCCATTCCAAAGCTACTTTGAAATCGACTGTGTGCTATCTTTTTTTAAAAATCAAATATGTTTTGTTTTAGAAGGGCATGGCCGCGTGGCCGAAGTCGATGAGGGCCTGCGGGCATAGGCGGCGGAGGCCCGGGAGCGCGCCGTCGAAGGCCGGCAGGCCGCCGCCCGTCCACCGGTCGACGAGGGCGAAGATGTCCCGGTGGAGCCGCTGGTCGCCGGCGAAGGGCCGCTCCAGGATCGGGTCCGTGTGGGTCCAGCCCCGGTAGAGCCGCGTCGCCTCGACGTCCGCGCCCAGGAGCCGGAGCCGCGCCTCGAGCAGCTCCGCGGCGACGGGCGGCGCGCTCTGGTCCGCGGTGCCGTGGATCAGCGCGACGCGGCAGAGGTCGCCGGCGTCGATGGGCCCGGACACGCCCGCCGCGACCGTCGTCGGCGAGTGGCGCGTCATGCCCGCCTCGTCGCCGAAGATGAAGTCGAGGATGACCTGGCCGAAGCCCTTGGCGCGCCAGTGCGCGGCCGTCGCGGGCACGTGGTACGGGCCCGAGACGCCGCAGAACCCGTTCAGGTCGCCCGGCCGCCACGCCTCCGCCGCGTCGTCGTCGGAGTCGCTGAAGCCCGGCGCGTCGCTCGCGCGCTTCGCCGCCGCGGCGCGCCGCGCCGCGAGCTTCCGCGTGAGCAGCAGCGCGCAGAGATGCGCGCCCGCGGACTGGCCCACGAGCACGACGCGCCGCGGGTCGCCGCCGAATCGCTCCGCGTTGTCGAAGCACCAGGCGACGGCGCGGTCCACGTCGTCGACCATGCCGTCGACGCCGCACTGCGGGCAGTTGCGGTAGTCCGGCGCCACGACCAGACAGCCGTGGAGCGACAGCGCGCGCCCGAGGGGCACGCCCCAGGCCTTGTAGCCGATGACCCAGGCGCCGCCGGCGACGAAGACGACGACGGGCGCCTTGGCACCGCCGGCGCCGTTCTGCGCCGGGTAGACGTCGAGGAGGTGGCGGAGGCCCGGGCCGTAGGGGACGTTGATGTCGACGCGGCGATACCAGTACCAGGCGCAGCGCAGCAGCGCGGGCATGAGCGCCGCGGCGAAGACGGCGAGGCGCAAGACGTTGAAGACCCACATGGGCGAGCCGCGGATCGACATCCAGGCGAGGCGCAGCGCGAGCCGGCCGACGAGCCGCACCTGCGACAGGCGGCTCGGCGTCTCAAAAGTTTGCGTCAGCGAGCTCGTCCACCAGAGCGTCGACAGGCGCTTCGTCGGCGACGACGGGTCGCCCATCGCTTGCAGCGCAACGGTGTTGGCAGTTTGGTGGCAGCGCGCGACGACGCGGCGCGCGCGCAGAGACCTTATTTGCGCTTTCTTGAGCAGCACATTGACCTCAAAGAGCCGCCGAGCGGGATCGATCTCGATCTCGCGCGCGCGCCGCGCGCCATGTTGTGCCAGTGCTTCTCCTCGCCGTGCTCGTGCATGGTCTTGAAGGCGGCGCAGCGCGCGCAGCGGCGCGCGAACCGCGACGAGAACAAACGCGAGCGAAAGCGGCTCAGGAAAGCTTTGGTGGATGACGCCCCGCCGCGCGACGACGCCGCGCCGCGCGCAACGCACGATGCCGCGCCGCGCGCACCGGCGGACGACGCCGCCGCGCCGCGCGCACCGTCGCCCGCGGCCGCGCTGCCGGCGGCCGCGCCGCCGGCCGACGCGCCGCGGTCGTCCGGGGCGTCGCGCGACGACGACGAGGAGGACTCGCCGCCCGCCGTCTTCAACGCGCCGGTGAGCCAGACGCAGGCCTCGCGAGGCATCCTGACGGCTCGCTCCCAGCTCTCGTCCCAGGCGCTGCCGTCGCAGTTTGGGCCCACGCCGCCGCTCTCCGGGCCGCTCCGCGACGCGCCTTGGGACGACGCGCTCCGGAGCCGCGTCCAGTCGCTGCGGGCCGTCGACGCCGACGACCCCTTCGCGCGGTACCTCATGAGCCTCCACGGCGAGATCGCCGCGCGGCCGACGATGCGCCTCGACGACGCGGGCGACCCCGCGATCCGCGCCCCACTCACGAGATTCCACGAGGATGACCGCGGCGCACATCGCGGCGCGGACGAGTCCTGGGGCTACATGTACTCGTAAGGATCTGCGTGTTTAATTAACCCCTGGCCTTTACTTACCCGGGGAAATGGCGCTTTGCCCTCGGAAAGTTGTACTTCAAGTTGCAGTCGGCGAGGTTTTTGCGCAGCCATCGAGGCCAACACCGCTGTGCACCACCCGCTGTGCTGCCAAACACCACCCGCTGCGCAAGCACCGACCACCCGCCCGCGCCGGGCTTGGCATGGACCGGTTGCGGTCCAGCTCGCTGTCGATCTCGGAGCCCGGCACGCCCCCGTCGTCGCCGCTGTCGACCATGGGCCGGAAGACGACGATCGCGTCGCCCTTCGCGTTGTACGCCGTGCGCCTCACCCTGGGCGCCATCGTCGCCATCAACGTCGCGCTCGTCGCCGCGCTGCTGTCGCTGGGCGCGCGCTACCCGGCGCTCGTGTCGCCGGGCCTGCTGGCGCTGGGCTTCGGGCTCCGCCACGGGGTGGACTGCGACCACATCGCGGCCATCGACAACGTCGCGCGGCGCCTCGCGGGCCTGGGCCGGCCCGCGGCGCTCGTCGGGCTCTGGTTCAGCCTGGGCCACAGCACCATGGTCGTGGGGCTCTGCGGCGTCGTCGCCGGCGGCTCCGCGTACGTCCGCGACAACGTCGGCGCGTTGACGACGGCGGGCGCGACGGTCTCGGCGGCGTTCAGCGCGGTCATGCTGTCGACGCTGGGCGTCGTGAACCTGGCGTCCATCGGGCCCCAGTTCCGCGAGTGGCGCGCCGCGGCGCGCGGCGAGGCGGAGCCCCACGGTCACGGCTCCGGCGGCCACGTGCACGGGGGCTGCTTCGCGCGGTGCTGCAAGCCCGTGCTCGCGTCCGTCGACTCCCAGTGGAAGATGTACGTCGTCGGCGTGCTGTTCGGGCTGGGCTTCGAGACGGCGTCGGAGGTCGGGCTGCTGGCTTTGGCGGCCGTGGGCCCGAAGGACGTGCCCGCGCCGGTCGTGATGCTCCTGCCGGCGCTCTTCACGTCCGGCATGGCGCTCGTCGACACCTGCGACGGGCTTTTGGTGCTGCTGACCTTCGCCAAGGCCGGCGACGGCGAGGACCGCGCGGGCGCGCTGCTCTTCGGCCTGCTCCTCACCGCCGCGTCCGCGTCCGTCAGCCTCGCGGTCGGCACGATCGTCGGGCTCGGCCTCGCGGCGCCCGCGCTCCCGCCGGCGCTCCGCGGGCCCGTCGCCGCCGTCGGCGAAGGGCTCGACAAAAACACGACGCTCTGCGGCCTCCTCGTCGTCGGCCTTTTCGTCGTCGCGCTCGTCGTCGCCGTCGTCGCGCCGCGGCGACGACGGCGCGCGCCCGAAGCGGCGACCTACGCGTCGATCGTGTAAGTCGGCTTGTTTTAGGTCCACGCCACGCGCGCGGGCGGATTGTGATGCCAGAAGGGCACGCGTCCGTTCTAGTTTGGTTCAACAGCGTCCTTGAAAAGAAGGGCACGCGTCGATCAATCTCCATCCGATGAGGCTCCGATGAGTCACGGTTTTTATTTGGTTCAACCAACGCCTCAACCAGCGTCCTTGAAGACGCGTTTTGCCACAACGCAAAAACCCGGCGACGATGAGCAGCGCCGCGCAGACGCTCGTCGCCGCGGGCGGCAGCGTGGCCATCGCCGTCGCCTACGGCACGGGGTCCCAGTTCCACGCCCTGGCGATCGTGGGCATCAGCTTCATGGGCGCCGTGGCCTGCGCCGTCCACGCGAGCGCCCGCGAGGCGGCGGACGAGGCGCGCTGGTGGAGCCTCCAGTGCCGGCGCTTCGAGCTCGACCCGGCGGGCGGGTTCCTGCCCGTGCCGTCGCCCGGCGAGGTCGAGCTCGAGGAGGAGTTCGCGCCCTGGGAGCGCCTCGGCGGCCGCCTCGCGACGCTGAACGCGAGCGGCACGCTGCGCCGCTACGTCGCCGAGCACGTGCCCCTCGTCGACGCGGGCAAGCTCCTGGACATCGAGCCGTTCCCGAAGCAGGTCGCCGCGCTGCGGCGCGCCTACGTGATCCTGGGCCTGGCGGTGCACAGCTACGCGTACCGCGCGGACGCGGACTGGGGCGGCGCCGTCGACGACGTCGACGACGACGAGTCGAAGGCGTTCGACGTCGACGCCGACGACCTCGCACGCCGGCCCGTCATCCCGAAGCAGCTCGCCGTGCCCTGGGTGCGCGTCTGCCGCGAGCTCGACCTGCCCGACGGCGCCATCGCGGCGTGCGGCACGGACCTCTGGAACTACAAAGGGCCCGACGCGGCCGCGGGCCCCGGTTCCTCACGGACGCGGGCCGCGAGCGGGACCGGGCGATGAAGGCGGCGGCGGAGAAGCAGAAGCGCTACGGCGCGCGGCAGATCCTGACGCCGCGCTTCCTGTGGGGGGTCTTCGGCTTCGAGGACCCGCGGCCGGCGGACGCGCCGGCGCCGGCGCCGGGCGCCGTCGCGCCCGTGGACCTCGTCACGTCCATGACGGGCACGGCCACGGAGGCCTCCTTCCACCTCCTGGCGACGCGCATGCAGGCGCGCGCCGCCCGGGAGCTGCCGGGCCTCGTCCGGCTGCCGAACGACGTCGCGGAAAAAAAGGCGTGGCGCGCGCAGCGGACGCTCCGCGCGCTGGCCGCCATGCTCGGCGACTTCTGCGCCATCTTCGAGGAGGTCCACGCGTCCGTGGACAAGGCACTGTTCTACGACCGCTACCGGCCCCTCCTCTCGGGGTCCTGGGACGCGCCCCTGGCGTGCGAGGCTTTGGACGGGTCCGTGTTTCACGTCCGGTCCAAGGGCCCGTCCGCGGGGCAGTCGACGATCTTCCTGCTCCTCGACATCGCCCTGGGCGTGGCCCGCGACGACTCGGAGCACGGCGCCTTCCAGCGCGACATGCTCGCCTACATGCCGCCCGCGCATCGGGCGCTCGTCGACGACTACGCGGACCGCTTCGCGGCCGCGGGCCCGCTCGCGAACCTCTGCCGGCGCGGCGTCCTGCGCCGGGACCGCGACGCCTGCGTGGCGACCCTCGCGAAGCTCCGGAGCTTCCACCTCGGCGTCGCGAGCGACTACCTGCGCCGCGCGGACAAGGGCACCGGCGCGTCGGACTTTCGCTCCATGCTCCGCGACGGCATCGCGCGGACCAAGGGGCAGAAGGCCGCCTAGGATACTTTTTTGGTAATTAGACCGCGACCTCGATGCGGAACGCCTCGACGACGGCGTCGCCGGCGCCGGCGTAGACCGTGAAGACGTCGCCGCCCTCCGGCCTGACGCCGTCGGAGTAGACGACCCGGTCCGTGAAGCCCGCGAGCTCCCAGGGCAGCGCCGCGTAGACGAGGGGCTCGGGCGCGCGCGCGAGCACGGCGAAGTCGTCGCCGTCGAGGATGGCCCAGCCGAGCGCGCAGCGGCCGAACCACGGCAGCGGCGCGGGATCGTCGACGGGCCAGAGCTGGTCCACGTTGTACAGCAACAGCCAGCTGCCGTCGGAGAGCCGCTGGGGCGCCGGGCCCGCCGACAGCGTCGCGTCGTCCCAGGAATCCGGGCGCGTCTCCAGCAACGGCCGCTCGTAGGTCCACGACGCGAGGTCGTCCGACGACACCAACGACAGGTTCGCGCCGCGGAGCTCGCCGAAGGTCGCGACGGCGTAGGCCTTCGTCGACGACGACGCGTCGGGGAAGAAGACGGCCGTGCCGCAGTCGTTGGCCAGCGTCTCCTCGACGGCGACGCAGTTCGTCCCGTTCGCCGCCGAGAGCGCCTTTAGCGCGCCGCCGTCGAAGGACCAGCGCTGGTGGCCGACGTCCTCGTCGCCCGGCGCGTGGCACGCGTAGAGGCCGACCTTCGGCCCCACGCCGTGGTCGACGTCGAGGCACTGATTCGTGCCTTGGACGCGCAGCTGCTTCGTCGCGGCGTCGAAGGTCCACGCCGACGCGGCGCCGCAGGCGACGCGGCCGACGGGCCGCGACGCGTCCGGGCTGCCGCTCAGCGACAGGCAGTACCCGTCGGCGCCCGCGATGCGGCCGTCGGTCCCCAGCGTCCAGGTCTGCGCGCCGTCGCAGGTCGCCAGCGCCGCCGCCTCGAGGAAGGGCGACCCGTCGGCGTTCTTCAGGCCGAGGAACATGGGCCCGCCGGCGACGCGCCGCCAGCTGCCGGCGTCGTCGGGCGTGGTGGTGCGGCTCAGGAACGTGTGGCGGCCGGGGTAGCTGTCCGTGGCGAGCTGGTACGTGAAGAAGGACTCGTCGTCGCTCCAGCCCGCGCGCGGGTCCGCGCCCGCGTTGACCGACCCGGCGTCGTCGAGCAGGTGGTCGACGGTCGCGCGCGGGTACGCCAGGCCCGCCCCGTCGGACGCGGGAATGAAACCGACGGCGTTGTAGCTGGAAGTGTTCGGCGCCGTGATGACGCGGAAGAAGAGGCCGCCGCCGGGGCTGTCCGCGAGGGGCAGCCACGATGGGTTCAGGATGTAGGGTGCCCACGAGGTGTTTTCCGCGAAGGAGAGCAGCGGGCCGCCGGCGAGACTTCTGTTCACGACCGTCACTTCGTAGGCGCACGCGAGCGGCGCGAGCCAGAGCACGAGTCGAGCCATGCGATTCTGAAGCAGCCCGAGCCAATAGCTGAAGCAGCCCGAAGCTGGTGTTGATGGTACTTGAGTAAAGATGCCGGCACTGATGCCGGCCGAAAAAGCTGCCCGTCGTCTATCTCCGTCGTCTGGGCCGCATTACTCGAGCATTACGTAGCATTACAGCCCCATCCATGCTGCAGATCGCGAACCGGCGGCGCAGGCAGAGCGCGGCGGCGCGCGCGTCCAGCACCGCGAAGTACTTTCGCGGACCGAAAGCGCCGGGGGCTCCGGTCCGCAAAGACCCCAAGAAGAAGAGGCGTCCTCCGGGCGCCTACGCCGGCGACAGCGAGCACTTTCCGGCCGTCGAGGACGAGGACGCCGTTCTCCCCTTGGCCCTCGCCGTCGACGACGGCGGCGCGGGCGACGACGGCGGCGCGGGCGTCGACTACGCGCTCCCAATGGCTGTCGCTGTCGCGGCGGACAGCGCGCGCGAGCCGCTCGCCACCGCGCGGGCGGCGCCGGCGGAGAGCGCCGAGGTCGCCGCGGAGGAGCGCGCCGAGGCCGCCGCGGAGGACGCGGAGCGCGAACCGCTGCCGGCGCTCCCGGCCCTGGTCGCCGCGGACTCCTGCGTCGCCGCGCCGGCGATGTCCCTAGAGCACACGGCCGCGGGGAGCGGCTGGGCCGCCGCGCGCGTACGACAGCCGAGTAGCTGACTAGTTACAAATCGAATTCCGCGTGTCCCCCACCCCCTGGTGGCGCCTCCGGCGGCTCCTCCAGCTCTGGTGCACCACGTGGTTCCGTCGGCGCCTCCGGCTCCGCCGGCTCCGCCGGCGGCTCCGGCGCCTCCGGCGGCGCCGGGACGACGCGCGGGGCCGGCGGCGGCACGTAGGCGACGTCGTCCGGCTCGGCGTCGTCGGTGCCGCCGTAGAGGACGGGCTCGGCCTGCCCCCGGAGCTTGCCCCCCAGGAGCGGCGCGGCGGCGTCGTCGGGCGCCGCGCCGTCCTTGGCGGCCCGGGCGCGCGTCGGCGTCGCCGCCTCGTCCTCGTCCGCGTACGCGTCCGCGTCGACCTCGAGGCCCGCGCCGACGCCGACCTCGACGTCCTCGGGCTCGTCGGGCACGGCCTCGAGGTCGTCGAAGAGGGGCTGGCGGTAGAGGAACGCGTCGAAGGTCGCCGCGATGCGGTCGCCCAGCGTCTCCGGCCGGCCGCGCGGGTCCGGCGCGGGCGACGCGGGCCCGCCGCTCAGGAGCACGCTCAGCCGCTTGCGCCGCGCCGCCGGCGCCGCGCCCGCGGGCTCCCGCAGCTCGTGGTCGTGGCCCAGCGCGCTCTCGACGGACGCGGCGTTGCACCTGTGCCGAATTCAACCACTGGTTTGGGTGGTCCTGACCAAACTTCAGAATTCTCTAGCTCGATCAAATCGAAGTCGATTCGGCTGATTTTTGGACGAATCGATTGCTCTCGTCGAGTTCTCGAAGCACAGCCGAAGAGGTTGCGTCGAAACGGTCGCATATGCGCACATTGAAGTCGGGTTGAAGATTTGAATTCGGCGCGGCGTTGCACGACTTCTCGAAGCCCGCGAAGACGTAGGTCTGGAAGTAGCGCGTCGCCAACGGCAGCAGCAGGGTCAGCCCCGCGGCGCCCCAGGCGCGCTTCAGCATGAGGTAGGCCACGAGCGTCAGCTGCGTCGCCACGAGGGCCCCGAGAAAGCGCCGCATGGCCGGGAAGAAGAAGATGCCGCCCGTTTCGTATTGGGGCACGTAGACGTGCATCGCGTTGTGGCTGTAGACGAGGTACGCCGCCGCGAAGAAGCAGGCGGCGAACGGGAAGATCAGCGGCGCGATGACGGCGAAGAGGAAGGCCATGACCAGCACCATGAGCGTCGTCGTGTAGACGTTGCCGTAGGGGAACTCGGGCCGCAGGAACAGCGCGGACTTGCGGTCCCGCGGCGTCAGCGCGCCGCCCGCGGCCAACCGAATGCCCCGGAGCCGCAGCCAGGGCGCGACGCGGCTCAGCTCGAACGGGAGACCCACGAGCGTCTTGATGAGGATGAGCTCCACGAAGTAGACGGACACCTGCGGCATCGAGCCCCCGAGTAGTCGCAGGAACGTCTCCGGCTCCTCCATGATCTCCTTGGCCGCGTCGAAGATGGACCCGGCGATGACCGTGAACCACAGGTTGATCATCTGGAGCAGGAAGTTGCGGTGGAGCACCGAGAGCTGCGCGGACGACTTGAGCTTGCGCCGCTCGTACTTCTTCGCGACGTTCTCCAGCGAGATGGGCATGACGGCGAGCGCGATCGACACGAGGCCCACGGGCCCCAGCGTCGTCACGTAGCCCACCACCGCGCGCTGGATCGGCGGCATGTGCTCGGACCGCGGCGCGAAGCCGAGCTTTACGAGCGTCCGATAGCTCGAGATCGCGTAGCAGATGGAGATGTAGAACGACCAGTACAACGCGATCATGTAGACGAACCCATCCGCGAATAAACGCCGCGTCTCGCCGGCCTCGAGGGACTCGGCGACGTTCTCCCAGATGACGTCGCGCCGGTCCGGCGGTAAGGGGTGCGCGACGGCGCCGTGGGGCCGCGGCGCGAGCTGCATGTGGCGCGCGAGCGCCGCGGCCGTGAAGTCCGTGAAGGTCACGAAGCCCGTGCTCGAGTGGCGCTCGCTACTCGTGAGGCGCCGGGCCGCGCGGCCCGCGGCCTCGCGGAGCCGCGAGCCCTCGCGGAGCAGCGACTCGCGCGCGCGCGACGGCGGCGCCGCCGCGTCGTCGACGTCGTCGTTCTCGACCGCCTCCCGCAGCCGCCGCGCGTCGGACGCCGCGTCGTCGACGGACCGGCCGAAGAGCACGGACGACACCGCGTTCTCGAGCGACGCGGACGCGCGCCGCGCGCTCCTCGGCGCCGCGGGCGCGGGCGCCGCGAGAAAGTCCTCGCGCTCGCGGCTCAGCACCGCGTCGGCGCGCTCGAGGTCCTCCAGCGTCCGTCGTCGAACGTCCGCGAAGGCCGCGTTCTGCCCCGCGAGCCGCCCCCGGAGCAGCGGGATGATCTGCTCCTTCGCGGACGCCGCGTCCAGATCGGCGCCCGGCGATATCGCGCAGCACGCGGACCGCGGCCGCAGCCAGGCCGGGCAGAGCCGCTCGAGCGGGTAGGCGCTGTCGCCGACGAGGGGCTCGCGGTCCGTGCGCGACCGCTTGAGCAGCAGGCGCTCGAGGTGGAGCGCGACGGCCTCGCGCTCGCGCTCGAGCCGCGTCAGGTCCGGCGCGTCGACGGCGACGACGGCGCTGTGCACGCGGCCGGGCAGCAGCGCGTCCCAGTGGCGCTTGAGCGCCGCGGACGTGCGCAGGTGCGGCGGCAGCCGCTCGAGCATGCAGCTCCGCAGGGACTGCTCCGCGGCGACCTACGAAACAAGGGGGGGTGAGCTCGCGCCGCGACGGACGCGCGAAAAGAGCGCCGGCGGCCGACGGGGTCCGCGTTCTTCGGCGCCGTCGTGAAGAAGTCCTGCCGCAACTCCACGAGCGCGGCGCACTCGTTGTAGCAGGCCGTGACGGCGTGGGCCGTGAGCAGCGCCATGAAGACCGCGGGCATCCAGAGCCGCGACCGATGGTGCCTGGGCAGGACAAGGGTGCGAAATTCCCAATTTCAAAGGCTCCTCTCTCGGCCATTTTCCGCTCGTTTTGGCTGATTTTTGGACGAGCGATCATCTCTCGGAGCGCTCTCGAAGCGTGGGTGCTGTTTCCGGAACGCGCGCGCGCGGAACACTCACGTTGAAGCGACGTTGAATCACCCTTGTCCTGCCCTGGGCGGTGCTCGGCGATGTTCGCGATCGTGTAGCGGTACCACGAGAAGCGGCCGTAGCCGTAGTGCGACGCGGCCGTGCTGTAGGCCGTGCAGAGCACGGGCGCGCAGACGCAGCTCCCGAAGACGCAGAGCCGCAGGCAGAGGCGCACGAACCGCAGGTAGACGTACATCTCGAGGCCCGCGTGCTTCAGGACGTCGGCGTCCGTCCGCTCGAAGAGCGTCGCGCGCACCCAGTCGAAGGTCCGCACCTCGCCGACGCGCCGCCGGGGCTGGGCGGCGTAGTCGCCGCCGTGCCGCTTGCTCACGGCCTCGACCTCGCCCTCCCAGACCATGCGCGGGCAGAAGATCATGCGCCGCGCGGACCGCGTCCGCCGCTTCAGCTCGAAGAACGTGACGAGCGCCACCGTCGCGAGGAGGCCCGTGAGGCCCACCTGGATGACGTCGGCGAGCGTCAGCTGCTCGAGGAGGTTGCTCAAAAGCACGGCGTCGTCGTCGACGTTGTAGGTCGGCGCGAAGGTCGCGTTGACGTCCTCGTAGGGCGGCCGCCAGGGCATGGCGGTTTTGTTAGGGGAGCGCGCCGCGACGCGACGCGCGCCGGGCTGCGATGCAGCTAGCGCGGCGCGGCGCTCATCTCATGCGATGGGCAGCCTCCATGGGCAGCCTTCGCAGGAATCCTGTTGCGTCATGGATCGAGGCTGGGTGAAAGGTGCCTCAACATCATCAGATTGAGCATTTGTTGACTCGGAGGCTCTCGCGCGCCTGCGATGGCCGACCGCCTGCTCGTCAGTGAGCGGCAGCGGGGGAACCCGCTGCTCAAGCACCTGCGCAACGTCGCCTGGCGCTTCGAGAAGAAGCTCGTGCCCGACTACGTCGTCGGCGAGAAGCACTGCGCCGTCTTCATCTCCATCCGCTACCACCTCCTGAAGCCGTCCTACCTGAGCCGGCGCCTCGCGGAGCTCAAGGCCGAGACCTGGCGGCTGCGCGTCCTGCTGTGCCACGTCGACCTCGACGACGCGGCCAAGGCGCTCCACGAGCTCAACGTGCTCGCGGTCAAGGCGGAGTGCACGCTCATCTTAGGCCACAGCGACCGCGAGTGCGCGCGCTACCTCGAGTGCTTCAAGGCCTACGAGCGCAACAGCGCGGCGTGCATCAAGGACAAGGTCGACGGGACGCACCACGCGCAGCTCGCCGACGCGTTGACGACGATCAAGCCCGTGAACAAGACGGACGTCGCGACGCTCGCGGGCCGCTTCGCGACGTTCCGCGACCTGCTCAGGGCGCCCGTGGAGGAGCTCCGCGACGCGCCGGGCCTCGGCGACAAGAAGGTCGCGCGCCTCTACGACGCGTTCCACGTGCCCTTCTCCCAGGCGGCGAAGCGGAAGCGCGACGCCGCGCGCCGCGCCGCGGACGACGCGGCCGTCGACGAGGCCGGCGAGGAGGCGCTCGACGCCCTCGACGCGGCGGAGGCGAAGCGGCCGCGCGCCGACGGCGACGTAAGCTAGGCCCGTTAGTAGGAGAGCTGGATCACCGCCCCGGGCCGCGCGCCCGGCGGCACGACGAACTCGACGGCCTGGCCGCGCGGGTCGACGACGGAGAGCCGCGACCCCGGGGCGGCGCCGTTCGGGATGCGCACGAGCATGGCGCGGCCGCCGCGCCGGTTCGCCGCCGTCGCGTGGGCGTTGCCGAAGTCCTCGAGCCACTTGTTGACGTGGATGGCGACGGCGTTGACGTTGTGCCACGCGTAGAAGGCGCCCACGACGTAGATGGGCTCGTCCGCGCCCGGCGGCGTCACCTTGGCCAGGTGGCAGACCTTCAGGTCATAGAACACGATGTCCGCCGCGCGGTCGCCGAGGGACGCGAGCACGTCGTCGAAGGTCCGCAGCGCTTTCCGCTTCAGCGACGAGAAGAAGCCCTTGGCCTTCTTCGGCTCCTCGGCGGCGCGCGCGGCGCGGTAGACCTGCTTGAGCGCGTCGCCGTCGAAGGTCGACGTCTCCGGGCGCGTCGCCGACGCCGCGCAGAGGCCCAGGAGGACCAGGTCCGCCGCGCCGGGCCCGAGCACGAGCACGAGGAACGACACCGCGAAGGCCGCGACGACGCCGACCTCCAGCGACCCCGTGCCGTCGAGCTGGAAGACGGCGGACGCGACGTAGGCCGCGCCGACGCCGACGGCGCTGCAGACCATCTGCGTGAAGGACGAGCCCGCGCCGGCCTTGAGCGCCGCGTAGGCCACGAGCACGGCGGCGAGAGACTGCTCCTTCGTCAGCGTCTGCGGCGCTGTTACGGGCGTCGTCGTGCGCTTCGGTGATCTCGCCGTCGACGACATGGCTGTGCGGTGCGCTGCGAGAGGAGGAGACGATGCGTCGGCGCCGGCGCGGCGGAGGGAGAAGACGAGGCTTGCCACAGCTGTACAGGCAACATCTAGTCAACGTTGACACACCCAAGCACGCTGCCCGGCATCGCCGACCTGCGCGGCGTTGCATCGCACTTTTCCTGCGTTCTCGCGCGCCCGTTGCGCGCCGCGGCGGCTCGTCGGCCGCGCTCCACCGGTCGCGGGCACGCGGGGCAGCCTCGCCGGGGCTGCGTCGCCCCCGGAGGACCATGGCGATGGCGACGCTCGCCGCGAAGCGCAGGGAGCGGGCGATCCTCATGGAGCGGAAGCGCGCCCAGCGCGAGAAGGAGGCCGTGAAGCTCTTCGGCGAGGTCGACGGCGGCAGCGGCAGCCTCGACAAGGCGGCGCTGAAGCTGCTCCTGGAGAAGATGAACCCGTCGGACCCGCCGACGGACGACGGCGTCGACTACGTGCACCACAGCATCTTCCCCGAGAACCCCGACGGCCAGGTCGGCGTCTGCCACATGGGCGCCATGAACAAGCACTACCACTACTGGTCCAGCAAGAGCGAGGACGTCGACAAAATTTTCGCGGACCACGACGCGGACAAGAGCGGCTACTTCGACCGCGACCAGTTCAAGAAGGCGCTCGTCGCCATCGAGGAGGCCAACGCGGACAAGCGCGCCTACGACGCGGGCGACTGGACGACGACCATCATCCAACTCACCGACGAGCTCTTCGAGAAGGTCACGGAGTTCAGCGACTGGAACGAGAACGGCCGCATCTCCAAGCCCGAGGCCCTCGCCGCCATGACGCTCTGGTCCGCCATCGCCAAGGAGGAGGCGCGGCGGAAGTCGACGTCCTGCCTTATCGCGTGAGGTCTGCTGATGTTGTTTGTTGGGGCAACGTAGCTGCAAGGAGGCTTGCTAGCTCTTGCCACAAGCTCTTATGGTGAAAACCCAGGCGACATGCGCGTGGCGCTGACCTAACACCAACGCACACAATGTCGGACTGGGCCGCGCAGGAGGCGGCGCTCTTCGGCGGCGGCGCGCCGCCGCGCGCTGCGCCGCGGTCCGAGGCGGCGGCGCGCCGCCAGTTTGTTGGTGATGTCTCAGGCGACGAGTCCTTCGCGCGCGCGCTGGTGGCGGAGGACGCGGCGCGCGCGCGCGCCGCCGAGGACCGGGACCGGGCGCTTGCGCGCGCGCTGTCCGACGCGCCGCCGGGCGACGCGGCGCTCGCGCGCGCGCTCGCGGCGGGCGACGGCGCCGCGCATCGCGCGCGGACCGCGTCGGACGCGGCGCTCGCGCGGGCCCTCGCGGCCGAGGGCGGCAGCGATGCGCGGTCCTCCTCGGACGCGGCGCTCGCGCGGGCGCTCGTCGCTTCCGAGGCGCGGCCCGCGGCGCTGCCCGCGGCGATCGCGCGGCCGCTCGAGGCGGTTCCGGCGGCCGGCGCCTCCGCGCTCCGCCTCGAGCCGCCGTCGGCCTGGAGCGACGCCGCGGCGGAGGCGCTCCTCGAGACCGCGGCGGCGGCGCTCGACGCGCGCTCGTCCTTCGCCGACGACGCCTTCCCGCCGCGGCCCGTGCCCTGCGGCGACGCCGTCGCCGCCGACTGGGCGCGCGGGTCGCGCTTCGCGCCGCGGTCCGGGCCCTGGGGCGCCGGCGGCGGGCCCCGCGCCGCGGACGTGAAGCAGGGTCGGCTCGGCACGTGCTGGCTCCTCTCAGGGCAGGACAAGGGTGATTCAACGTCGCTTCAATGTGAGTGTTCCGCGCGCGCCCGTTCTGGAAAAAGCATCCACGCTTCGAGACCATTCCGAGAGATGATCGCTCGTCCAAAAATCAGCCGAAACGAGTGGAAACCGGCCGAGATCGGAGCCTTTGAAGTTGGGAATTTCGCACTCTTGTCCTGCCCAGGCTCCTCTCCGCGGCGGCGGTCTTGGCGGCGAGCGACGCGGCGACGGTGGCGGCGCTCTTCCCCGGCCAGCCCCACGCGGCGAACAAGCGGGGCTGCTACGTCGTGCGCCTCTGCTGCTTCGGGCTCTGGCGCCTCGTCGTCGTCGACGACTCGCTGCCGACGCTGCGAGGCCGGCCCTGCTTCGCGGGCGTCGACGGCGCGCTCTGGCCCGCGCTCGTGGAGAAGGCCGCGGCGAAGGTCTACGGCGGCTACGAGCTCCTGAGCGGCGGCCACGTGCGGAGCGCGCTCGCGCTCCTCACGGGCTGGCCCTGCGGCGACCACTCGCTCGACCTGCACGACGCGCAGGGCGGGAGCGTCGAGGACAAGCGCGATGTCTTGTGGCTCACGCTGCTGTCGCTCGTCGAGGCGAGGGCCGTGTGCTGCGCGTCCGCGCGGACCGACGCGGCGCGGCTCAACGCCGTGGGTTTGAATCAGCGCCACGCGTACAGCGTCGTCGACGTCGTCGAGCTCACGGACCTGGGCGGGACCGTGAGCCGCCTCGTGCGGCTGCGGGACCCCCACGGCGACGCGCTCCAGCGGTCCTGGGCCGGCGACTGGTCCGCGGCGGACCTCGCGCGGCGGCCCCGGGAACTCGGCGACGCGTTGAGGAGCCGCGGCGCGCCGGACCCGTCGACGCAGTGGCTGTCCTTCGCCGACCTCGAGCGCTACTTCTCGCGCGTGTCCTTCTGCGAGGACCGGAGCGCCTGGGCCGGCGACCTCCGCGCCGCGGCGCGCGCGGGGTTTTCGGTCGCCGCCGCCGGCGCGCCGTGCCTCGCGCTCCGGAGCCGCGCGCGCGCGCCCGCGGCCGTCTGCTTGGAGCGGCCGCGCGCCGACGGGCCCGACGCCTGCGTTTTGGTGCTGCGCGCGTCGCGGCGCGCCCTGCGGCGCGGGCGCTGCGGCGCCGACGCGGTGACGGGCGTCCACGCGGTCGCTTCCGCGGCCGTCGCCGGCGGCGCCGCGACGGCGCTGGGGACCTGGGTCGGCGGCGGCGACGACGACCTCGTCCACGTCGTCGCGCCGCTCTGCCTCGCGCCGTCGGCCGTCGACGTGAATCTCGCGGTGCTCTCGCGCGACGCGCTCGACGCCGCGCCGGCGGTCTTAGAACCCGCGGCTCTCGCGGCCGCGCTCCGCCAGCTCGCGCGCGGCGACGACAACCCGCGCTACTTCCACGGCCTCCGGCTCTCGGCGGCCAAGTGCGGCCTGGCGACGCTGCTCGTCGCGTCGAACGCGAACGCTTCCGACACGGCGACGGTGACGCTCGAATTCACGGAGCTCGCGGGCTGCGCGCTCTCGCGCGGCGCGGGCGCGGTCCGCGTCGTCGACGCGGTCCCGCCGCGGACGGAGCAGCTCCTGTGCGTCGTCGTGCCCACGCGGCCGAGCTTCCGCCTCGCCTACGCGTCGCGCGTCGAGGTCGCGCGGTTCTCGTCCGTCTTCCACGACCCGCCGCTGCGGCCCGGCGACGAGCTCCACCGGCCCGCGGCGTACGGCTAGTAATTTTTTCCGAAGAGACGGTCTGGAAAAAGTCTTCAAAGTTACGAACTCTCGTCGTCGTCGTCGGGGATCATGCGGCACGAGCTCCACCGGCCCGCGGCGTACGGCTAAGTTTTTCTGGAAAAAGCGTTACGAACTCTCGTCGTCGTCGTCGTCGTCGGGGATCATGCGGCACCACGTCGTCCGGTGCGCGTCCCAGCGCGCGCGCGCGACGAGGTCGCCGCAGCGCACGCAGACGACGGAGGAGCCGTCCTCGAAGGCGTCCTGGAGGAGCTCGCTGTGGCCGCCGTCGCCGAGGATCGAGGACCGCTCGAGGAGGTCGTCGCAGACCGCGCGCGCCGCCGCGAGCTCCGCGGCCTCGTCCTCGGTCAGGTCCGGCCGGATCGCCCGCTGCTCGCGCCGCTGGCGCTCGGCGGTCCGCTTCGCAGCGTCAAGCTGGCGCTTCATTACGTCCTCGTCGCCGCCGCTGCCGAGCTTGGCCGCCGCCTACCACATGCGTCGGTAACGATTTTTCATCGTTTTCCCGGTAAAAATCTCTCGAAAACCGTCACGGATGCAGGACGCTGGCCGCCGCGAGCGCGCAGGCGATCGCGCCGTCGCCGTCGCCCTCCGCGAGCTTCGCGCGCGCCGCGTCCATCAACGCGCGGATCTGCGCGGCCGTGTCCGCGTCGACGGCGGGGCCGGCGTCGGCCGCGCCGGGCGGCGCGACGGCGCCGGCGCCCATGGGCCTCGCGCTCCGCCGCGGCTTGGATGTCGGAGCCTTGGCAGGCTTTCGAGCAGTGCGTTGCTGCCGCTTGCGCGTGCGCTCCGCGCGGCCGCTGACGAGCGACGTCGCGACGACGAGGCCGAGCGCGACGAGCAGCGGGAGTAAGGCTACCAGGTAGGCGGCGGATGGTACCTCATTCATATGGGCAGCTCCATCGATTACTCGACTTCAAGTAGCTTCAACGAACGAGCAGTTCGACTCGCTTTTGAAGATCGGCACTAATCCGTTGCGACCCGTCGCGCGGGCTCGACGGCAATCGCGTCGCAAAAAAGCCATCGCAATACGTCGCACGCGGAGTAGCACACTCGCTGCAATACAATCGCAATCGTCGTCGAACCACCGTTTGATGCATCGATCTCAAATGTCGTGGGCCCTCGACCGCCACGCCTACTACTCGAGCGACGAGTCCGACGACGACGACGACTGGTTCGTCGGCTCCTACGAGCCGGGCCTCGACGAGCCGCCCTTCGCGTCGACCGTGCGCGTGGCGCGGGACCGCGCCGGGAGCTGGTCGTCGCAGCGCGACGGGTCGCCGCCGCGGGACGACGCGCCCGCGGACGGCCGCGTCGTCCGCGTCGTGCTCGGCCCCGCGCGCGCCGTCACGGACTCGGAGTCCGACGGCGACTCGTCGCTCGGGTCCCTCGGCGCGTTGCACCTCGACGACGGCGGCGACGACGCCGCGGCGGCCTGGGCGCCGAACCGCGTCGAGCTCGTCGAGTTCGCGGACCTGCAGATGCGGTGGCTGTCGCTCAACGCGCCGAAGCTCATGGCGGCGACGATGGAGACGACGCGCGACGTCGTCATGTACGCCGTCCGCGTGGGCCTCGCGAACGACTTCCGCGACGCGCGGCGCACCGTCTTCGCGGCGCTGCTCGTCGCCGCCAAGTTCCACGAGTGCGAGACGGGCCGCGCGCTGATGGGTCTGGTCGTGGAACTCGCGGGCGGCCGCTTCGACGCGCGCGAGATCCGCGCGACGGAGATGCGGCTCCTCGCGGCCCTGGGCTGGGACGTCCGCGCGGCCTCCGTGGCCGGGCGGCCGAACCGCGAGGACGCGTGGTGCTGCGTGTCGCCCGGCTCGACGCCGTCGTCGCGGTCCTTCGACGCCTACGAGTAGACCGGCGGTAGCCGTCGCCCGGCGCGATTAGCCCGGAGAGAAAGAACCCTAAGAATCACCGCGTGCTTACGACACGGCGGTGGCCCGGAGCGCGAACTTGAGCTGGTTCGCCATGGCGTCCAAATCCGCCTTCCGGTCCTCCGCGAGGCGCCGCCGCTGCTTCTCCTTGAACGACCGCGCGTGGACCGGCATCTTCGCGAGCTCTGTGGCGAGCTGGTCCCGCTCGAGGTTGAGGCCCAGCAAGCGCCGCTCCAGGGGCGCGCGCGCGTCGACGGCGTCGCGGTCTCTGTCCGTCGCGAAGGGGCTCCCCGCGGAGAGCGCGTTGTCGTTGCGCCCGAACGCGCGGGCTCGCAGCGGCGCGCCGGCGGTCGTCGGCGACGCCGGCGCGCCGCCCTTGGCGCGGAAGCCGCGCTCCGGCGGCCGCGCGCCCGCGGGCGGCGACGGCGGCGCGGCCGGCGGCTCCGGTGGCGACGGCGCGGGCGGGTCCGGGTCGGCCGGCGCCGGGTCGGCGTGCCACCGCGACGGCTCCGGCTGGGCGTGCCACCGCGATTGTTGTTCCGGCTCCGCGTGCCACCGCGACTGCGGTTCCGGCTCGGCGCGCCACCGCGATTCCGGCTCCGCGCGCCGCCGCGGCGCGTCGTCCTCGGCGTAGCGCGCGAGCGGCGCCGCGGCGGGCCCCGCGTAGGCCGCGAGCGTCGTCGGCCGCGGCGGCTCCGGCGGGCCGCGGTCCGAAACGCCGCGGGGCGGCTCGTCGCGCGGCGGCGGGCTCCGGCTCCGCCCTCTGCGCCGGAGCGCGGCCGCGAGCTCCGCGTGCTTCGCGTTCGCCGCGTTGAGCGCGTCCGCGGCGTCGCCGTGGGCCTCGCGCCAGCGCTCCGCCTCGGCGCGCGCCTCCGTCGCCGCGTCCCAGGCCTTGCCCGACGAGAGCTCCGCGGCCTCGAGCGCCGCCTGGAGCTCGCGGATGCGGCGCCGCGCGAGCCCCAGGTCCGCCGTCTCCTGGCCAAGGCGCTCCGACGTCTCGCGGCAGGCGTCGCGGAGCTCGCGCTGGGCCGCGCGGGACCGCGCGAGCTCGTCCTCGAGTTCCAATTTCGCCGCCTCCGCGTAGCGGAGCGACGCGCTCGCCTGCGCCGCGGACCGGTCCGCGGCGGCCGCCGCGCCCTGGAGCTCCTCGATGCGCGCCTCGAGGCGCGCGACCTCCGGCCGCGGCGCGCGACGGGCCGGCTCCGGCTCCGGCTCCGGCTCCGGCGGCCGCGCGACGACGACGGCGGCGAGCGGCCGCGGTTCCACGAACGCGCCGAGCGACCGCGCCGCGGGCGCCTTCGGCGACGGCGCCGGGCTCGCCTCGAAGCCCCGGAAGCTCGGCGGGCTCGCGGGGGGCGGCGACGCGGGCGCCGCGCCGGGGCTCCCGGGCGGCGACGCGGGGAAGTTGGGCTGGGGAGCCTTCGGCGGGAACGGGCTCGCGACGACGGGGCCGCCCGGCGCGAAGGCCCGGCGGCTCGCCGGCGACAGGGACTTGCGGCTCGCCGGCGACGTCGGCGAGTTGCGCACGCGGCCGAGGGCCGGCTCCTCGGGGCTGTTTTTCACGCGGCCGCGCGCGGGCTCGTCGTCGGCGCCGTCGTCGCCGCGCTCGTCGGGGCTCCGCGGCGCGCGGCCGCGCGCGGGCTCCGGCGACGTCGGGCTGTTGCGCACGCGGCCGAGCGCCGGCTGGTCGCGCGGCGAGTCGTCGGCGGCCGGCGCGTCGTCCGGCGGCGGCGGCGGCGACGTGAGGTCCTCCTCGGCGAAGCCGTGGAGCGGCGTCGCGTCGCGGCGTTGAGGCGTGTCGTCATCGTCGAGGGACGCGACGCTCACGAGCGTCGACGTCGCGGGGAGCGGCTCGTCGTCGCCCTCCAACGGTTCCGCGTCGTCGAACGGTAGGTCGAACGGTAAGAACTCGGAGGAGCCGCGCAGCTCCAGCTCCGATTCGATCTCGTCGTATTCCGACTTCTTCGTGCTGAGCGGCAGGGCCGCGAGCTCGGCCAGAGACATGGGCGCCATATCTCGTTACGCTTCCAACCAAGGCGCCGCTCTTTACGCTTCCAACAAGCCGCCGTTGCTACTCATCGTTTGCCGCCGAGAGGTAACATCTGGTAAACGTCCACTTCACCACGACCTCTTGAATTTCAATACTCGGCCGGGCAGCGTTCCTCCGAGCTCCGCCTGCAAACGCCTCGTCGCCGCAAGCACCGGGCTGCCTTTCAGCTCCGCCTCGTCACCACAACCAGGCAGCCTTCCTCCGCCTGCAAACGCCTCGTCGCCGCAAGCTCCGGGCTGCCTTCCATCTCCGCCAACCGCAAGCACCATGGGCGCCGCCGCCAGCGCCGCGACCTACGACTCCATCGAAGAGGCGCTCCCGAACGCGCCGTACCAGTCCGAGGAGGACGCGAAGAACGAGGGCTACTCGCGCGCCGACATCGAGACCTGGTACGAGCAGAACGTCCTGGGCCACAAGGCCGGCATCGTCCAAGTGTCCGTGGGAAGCAGTGGCAACCGCATCGGCGCGTCCTTCTGGGAAGCGATCTGCCAAGAGCACGGCGTCGACGCGGCGGGCGCGGGCGCCGGTCCCGCGTCCTACTTCAACGAGACGAGCGACGGCCGCTTCGTGCCCCGGTCCGTGCTCGTGCACGCGGACAAGAGCGGCTGCGACGCGACGGTCGCGGCGCCGCTGGGCAAGCTGTTCCGGCCGGACAACCACGTCTACGGCGAGGCGACGGGCGGCAACTGGGCCAAGGGCTTCTACACGTCCGGCGCGGAGATCGTCGACGCCTGCCTCGACGTAGTTAGGCGGGAGGCGGAGCAGTGCGACCGCCTCGCGGCCTTCCAGGTCTGCCACGCGCTCGGCGGCGGCACCGGCGGCGGCTTGGGTCCGCTGCTCCTGACCAAGATCGCGGAGGAGTACCCCGACCGGGTCCTCGCGAGCTTCGCCGTCCTGCCGGGCTCGGCGCTCTCGGAATCGCCGACGCAGCCCTACAACGCGGTTCTCGCGCTCCACCAGCTCATCGAACTGAATAATGCCCAAGGCGCGCACGCGATCCTCTTCGACGCCGACGCGCTCGCGAAGACTGCGAGCCCGGAGGCCGCGGCCGCGCGCGCGATGGCCGACGCGACGGCGCCGTTCCGCTTTCCCTCGGCGTCGTTGAACTGCCCCGCTCCTTCCACCACGCGCTCTGCCCCTGGACCTACGGCCGGCGCCTCCACTTCCTCCTCGCGGGCGCCGCGCCGCCGGGCGTCTCCCCGGCCGCGGCGCTGGACCACCTCTACTGCGAGACGCCCGAGCGCCGCGACCCGGCGAACGACGTCGCGGCGCCGCCGGCCTACGTCGCCGCGGACGACGCGTTCCGGCGGCAGATGCTAGCCGCGGGGCTGCCCGTCGCGCAGTACGACGGCGACGTGAAAGCCGCGACGGCGCGCGTCGCCGCCAGGGCAGGACAAGAGAGCGAAATTCCCAACTTCAAAGGCTCCTTTCTCGGACGTTGTCCGCTCGTTTCGGCTGATTTTTGGACGAGCGATCATCTCTCGGAACGGTCTCGAAGCGTGGATGCTTTTGTCGGAACGCGCGCGCGCGGAACATTCACGTTGAAGCGACGTTGAATCACCCTTGTCCTGCCCAGGTCGCGGCGCTCCTGGCAACGTCCGACGCGCGGCCCGCGTCCAAGCTCCTCGCCGCGGCGCTCTTCGCGCGCGGCCCGCCGTCCGCCGCCGACGTCGAGGCCGAGCTCGCGGCGCGCGCCGACGCGTACGTGCCCACGCGCGCGAAGCTCTTCGACGGCTGGGCGCCGCCGCCGCGCGCGTCGTCAATATCCGGCGCCGTGTCGTCGACGGCCATCGCGAACTCGACGGCGGTGCGCCAGCCGCTCAATCGCGTCCGCGAGCAGATGACCGCACTCTTCCGCAAGAAGGCGTTCGTCCACAACTACACGGGCGAGGGCATGGACGAGATGGAGTTCTGTGAGGCCGAGTCCAACGTGAACGACCTCGTCCAGGAGTACCGCCAGTACGAGGACGCCGAGGCGGTCCTCGACCCGCCGGAGGAGAAGGAGTAAGGTGGATGTTCATTATGCTTGCCACGGCCGTTTAGCGCAAGATAAGCCGTGCGATCCCGCGTCAACGTCACGTCAACAATGAGTTGTTGAAGAGCAGCTCTGAGTCACGCTGCGATGGCTCCTAAAGCGGCGTGTTTTGGCCTGCTCCTGTGGGCGGCGCAGGGCCTCCGGCTGCCGCAAGGCCTCCAGGTCCCCGCGCAAGGCCTCCGGCTCTGCAAGCGCGTCGGCGGCGACGCGCTCGCGCTCGCGCTCGCGACGGCGCCGCTCGCCCAGGCGGCCCAGGCCGCGGCCCCGCCGTCGCCCGCGTCGCTGGAGCTCGTGCAGCGCGCGCTCGACGCGTCGAGCCAGGAGCAGAAGGACGCCGTGCCCCTGCTCGGCAAGGCCATCGAGGCCTGGAAGAAGGAGAAGCTCGCGGACGACGAGCTCGCCGGCCTCTACTCTCTCCGCGCGAAAGCGTACCAGCGCGAGGGCGACGCCCAAAAGGCCGAGGCCGACCTCGCGGCCGAGGTCACGCTCCTCAAGGGCAACAGCGACGCCGATCCCGCCGAGCTGCCGCGCGCGCTCCTCGCGCGCGCGCGCCTCGAGGAGGCGCGCGGCGCGCACGGCGCGGCGCGCGCGGACGCCAAGGCGGCCCTGGCCCTCGACGAGGACCTGCCGAACCTCGAGCAGCGCAACCCCTTCTCCTACGAGCTGCTGGCGCGCGCGTCGGCGCGCGACGGCGACTTCGCGGCGGCGGCGAGGTCCTTCGCGGACGCCGAGGCCGCGCGCCGGCCGCGTCCTCTCCCGACGAGTCGTCGCGAAAAACACCCTTCCTCCGCGTAGGCCCACGACCGCGTCGGCGACGCGATCCGCGCGCGCAACGCCGCCGCGGACCGCGCGCTCGCGCTCTACGCGACGGCGAACGCGGACGCCGTCGCGGAGACGCGGCGCGTCTTCGCCCAAAAGTCGAAGCCCGTGTCGAACAACCCCGACGACGTGCCCCTGCTCCAGGAGCTGTCGCGCAAGGACGCGGAGCTGCACCTCGCGCTCTCCGCGCGGCTCTACGCCAAGGACGACGACCGCACGGACGCGACGGCGCTCTGGCAGACGGGCTGCCTGCGTTTAAAGACCTACGTCGACGACGCGCGGACGCGCGTCGTCGCGGACGACGCGGAAGACCTCGGCAACGACCAGCGCACAAAAGCGAAGAAGAACCGGGCTTTGGCCGACGCCGCGCGGTCGCTGGCCGCCGTGTCCGTGGGTCTGGACCCGGCGAACCCCTACGTCACGCAACGGACGGGCCAGAACTTTTTATGGTACGAGTTCGAGGCCGACGGCGCGGGCCAGGCGGGCGAGGACTACTCGCCCAGGGGCGACGCCAAGGTCAAGCGGCGCCGCGTCGGGTCGACGGCCTACGACGCGACCTACGGCAAACTGGCCAAGGTCGACGCGGCCCTGAGCTGCGACGCGTTCACGTCCGAGGCCTGGCTCGCCGCGAACCGGCCCGAGTGGCCGCCGGAGCTCCGCGGCGACGCGCAGAAGTTCGCGTCCCTCGCGCCCAAGGCCGTCGACGTCGAGCTGCCGAGCGCGGCGCCCATGACGCTGCCCCCGAAGCCCAACCCGCTCGTGAAGGCCGTGCGGGGGGCGCTCAAGTAACACGTGTCGAACCTTAGATCTCCGCGCTCGTACTGCGGGGCTTCGGCGCGGGCCGCGCCTGGTCCCGGAGCCTCGGCGCGTTCGATTTCAGGTTGAGCGTCTCCAGCAGGGACGCGCCCGCGGCGCAGGCGATGCCCGTCACGACGGCGGGCACGCAGCAGACCATCATGGTGCCCCACGCGGCCGTCGACGCGCGCTCCGCGTGGGGCGGCGGCGGCGGCGCGGCCGCCGCCGTCGCGGTCGGCGCGGACACGACGACGTCCTCCTGGAAGGAGTAGCGCGTCCGCGCGCTCGCCGTGCGCGGCGACAGCGGCTCGCCGAGGATCTCGTGGCGGCTGTCCACCGTGACCTCCCACTCGGACGCGACGGCCGCCTCGTAGACGCTGTCCTCGTCGGAGGCGACGGTCGCGGAGTCGTCGTCCTCGGCGCCCGCGGCCTCGGGCGCGCGCGGCGGCTGCTCCGGCGGCCGCGGCGGCGACTCGCGCGGCGGCGACGCGCGGTCGCCGCGCGCGTAGTCGACGACGCCGCCGCGGCGCTCGGGCGACGTCGCGTCGTACGCGCCGGGCCCCGGCGCCTCGGACGCGGCGGCGTAGACGAAGGGGTCGGAGAAGCGGCGGTGCGAGCTCGGCGCGAAGGCCGCCGTGCCGCGCGGCGACGGCGCGGGCGACGAGGTCGGCGCCGGCTTGTCGGGGACGATGCGCTGGCCGTCGTCGACCTTGGGGACCGCGTCGTCGATTTTCGGCTTCGGCGCGTGGTGCTTCGCGTTCTCCTTGACGAAGTTCTTCTTCGGCGACTTGCGGCCCATCGCTTCGCCGTGCGGGACGTCGAGGAGCGCGGCCGCCCGGGGCTCGGGTCGAGAACGTTTTCGAGGACCACGACGGGCCCGGGTGGGTCTCGTTTAAAAAGTTCAATTACAGTTTGTGTGAACTTTTGGGCATCAAGAGCGCCGCCTCCAGCCGGTGCTTGCACGAGCTCTCCGAGAGCGCGCGCGGCGACATAATGCGCGCAGCACGCATCTTTGCACACCTCGTCCTCCTCGCCGTCGCTTTCCCAGCCTGCGCACTCCAGCGTGCCGCGCCGCGCGCGCCGCAGCCACGGCAGGCCCTCGCCACGGAGCCTCGCGCGCTGCCGCGCTCGACGCGCCGCCGCGACGTCGCGCGCCGCGCCGACGCCTCCGGCGGCGGCGACGACGCCGCGCGGCAAGCGCTCCTCGCGGAGCTGGCGGCGGCGCGCGCGGAGGTCGCCGCGGCGTCCGAGGGCGCGAAATCCGCCGAGGCCGAGCGCGAGGGGCTCAAGAGCGAGATGGAGGCCGTGCAGCGCCGGTCCGAGGAGCGCGCCGCGGCGGAGCTCGCGCGGGCCTCGCGGAACCGCGGCATCCTCAAGGCGGCGCTCTCCGCGGTCGCCGTCGCCGCCGCCGCCGCCGCGGGGATCGGCCAGATCCTGCGATAGGACCCGCGTCGTCGCCGCATAGGGTGCGCCTTTGCTTAGTGGCGCGCGTGTCGTCGCATAGAATACGTGGTTTTTCTTAGCGGCGCGCGCGGCGCCTGCGGAGCGCCATGATGGCCGCCATGGCTGCAGCTGCCGCGGCGGCTACGGCCACCGCGTTGCTTGTCGTGGCCGCGGCGACGAGCGCGAGCGTCAGGTCGTCCGACTCTTTCGTGGAGCTGTAAGACGGCGCCGCCGTCGGTGCTATGAGCCCTGGAATCTTGTGCGGATGGCCGATCCAAGTGACGAGGTGCCATATCGCGCTGCCCGTGGCTCTCAGCGTCACGCTTTCGACGTCGTCGCCTCCGAGGCAGATGCGCAGATCTTGACGAAACTGCATGTTCAGTGGAATGTTACCGCAATTAACCTGGTCGAGTCCGACGTGCGCGATGGCGCGGAATCGTTGGTCGACATTTTCCTTAGCCAGAAGCTGGAAGTCACCCGAAGAATGCTCGAACCAATCGTATTGCATGGTTCCGTCGCCAAAAGGAGGAGCAGAAAGAGCAGCAAGATAGCAATTGGGTATATTGAATTGTTCGCCATTCGCTCTCTTCTTTTCGTTATCCGCATGAAGAGTGAAGCGTCTCACCTGGCAATTTCTGCCGGCCATTGTCGCCGAGACGATGTACAGCACCTGCCCTTCCGGGACTTCGATCGTCTTCTCTGCTTCACCGATGCTGAACATTTGATGTTGCGCATCTTCCTCGGGCGGCGTGGCGGCTTCCGCGGCTTCCTTCACGTTCTCCAGGTATGCCACGGCCGCCGCCTCGCACGCGGATACGAGGCCCTCGAAGCACAGGAACTCGCCCTCCGCTCGGAGGTCCTCGAGCTTGGCGAGATCGACGCGCGTTGCCGCGGGCAGCGCGCCGCCCGAGCGCATGAACTGGAGGACGACCTCGAACAGCGACGGGTCGCGGTCCAGGAATAGCTCCCGCGGCGCGGCCTCAGACTCGGACTCATCGCCGCGCGCGCGCTTCCGGCCGCTCAGCTTCCGGCCGGTGTCGCCGAGCAGGGCGGCGAAGTAGCTCGACTCGCAAGACAACAGCGTCGTCGACGTCGTCTCGAAGCGTCGTCCGCCGACGTTGACGGTCACGCGGTCGCTCATTGTGTTAGCGCAGCGCGCGACCTGCGGCAGGTGCCCAGACTGGCAGCCCGGCTGCCGCTGTTAACGTTTGAAAGTTCACCATGCACTGCACGTTCCCCTACTAGGCGTTATGCACGTACATGTGGTCCCCCGACGGGCTGCGCTCGTAGTAGGGCCGGCTGCCCGCGGGCCGGACCTTGGCGCCGCCGACGACCTGGGCCATGGGCGGCGCGGCGCCGGGCGCGCCGGCGCGCGCGGCCGCGACGGGCGTCGCGCGGGGCACCGCGGCCTTGGGCGCGCGCGTCACGTAGGCGACGAGGGGCGGCGACGCCAGGAGCACGACGCCGCCGAGGCAGAGCAGGATCAGCCCGGCGATCCAGGTCTCCTTGAGCGGTGAGCCGTTGTTCCGCAGCGCGATGCGCGCGGTGGATTCCGGGTCGTACCAGCACGGGTAGGTCTCGCCGTCGGCGAACTTGGCGAGGAAGCGCTTCGCCGCGGCGCGGCCGCCCTTGTCGAAGCAGTACTTGGTGCCGCAGTTGTTCTCGCCGCCGCCGCACTCCTTGCGCCAGGACGGCCGCTTGAGCGCGGTGCCGAGTTTCGTCTCGTTGCTCGACAAGGTCAGCTTCACGGCGACCCAGGCCTGGTGCACGCGGTTGCCGCGCCCGCAGTCCATGGTGAAGACGCTCGAATTGCCGCGAATGACCTCGCAGCTGCCCTTCGTCCAGTCGGCCACGGCGGCCTCGTCGACCTGGTAGGCGACGTTCGCGCCGCCGAACATGAGGCCGCCGATGAGCAGGCAGAGCCACAGGGGAAAGAAACAGAGGCCCGCCATCGCCGCGTCGTGGTTGCCCGCGAGGCAGCCCTCGAGCGCCATGGTTCGCGCGCGCTCAAGTCGGTAGGGCGCGTTCCATCTGAGGCTGCCCGACCGCGGTCTTCAACAACAGGTTCAAGTTACTTCCCTAAGCGTCGTGATGACGATCTCGCTGTCCGTGTCGACGCGCCTCGTCGGCGCCATGCGCCGCGCGTCGCCGCCGAGGAGCGGCTTCGCCGGCGGCGCGCGGAGCGCGTCCTCGACGACGGCGCGCGTCGCGCGCCAGGACCGCGAGGTCGGCGCGAGGACCTCGAAGTGGCCCTCGCGCTTGATCTGGTGGTACTCCACCGGCAAGCCGCCGACCGTGGCGGCCACCGTAAAACGCGTCGACAGCGCCGCGGGGACCACGGAGTCGTCGAGGCCGTGGACGCACGCCAGCTTCGTCGTCGCCGCGAGCCCATCCTCCCACGCGCCCACGCCGCGCCAGTCCGCCGACGCTCGGAGCGACGACGTCATGGCCGGCGGCAGCAGCTCGATGGGCGACGCCGCGCGGACGTCGCCGTCGGCCCCGAGGAAGTCGTCGACGGCCGAACCGCCGACGCGCTTCGCGCGCGCCTCGCGCAGGTCGAGCACGCCGCCGCAGGACACGGCGCAGCGCAGCACCGTCGCGGACGACGCGCCGCCCCGCCCGGCCGCCGGCGACCCCCGGAGCGCGTGCCGCAGCGCGAGCTGCCCGCCCGCGCTGTGCCCGACGAGCGCGACGTTCGTCGCCTGGGCAGCAAAAGGGTGATTCAACGTCGCTTCAACGTGAGTGTTCCGCGCGCGCGCGTTCCGGAAAGCATCCACGCTTCGAGACCGTTCCGAGAGATGATCGCTTGTCCAAAAATCAGCCGAAACGAGTGGGAAACGGCCGAGATATGAGCCTTTGAAGTTGGGAATTTCGCTCTCTTTTGCTGCCCTGTTCGTCGCGTCGAGGCCGAGGCGTCGCGCCGCGGGGCCCGCGAGCCACGCCAGGGCCGCGGCGACGTCGGCGGACGCGCGCTCGCAGCTGCCGGCGCCGCGCGCGTACTCGACGTTCACGCAGTGGAACTCGGTGTTTGTTCGGACGTCTCGCGCGACCGCGTCCATGAGCGATTTGCCGTAGCTCGCGCGCCAGTAGCCGCCGTGCAGCAGGACGACGACGGGGCGCTCGCCGTCTTGCAGGTAGCAGTCGGCGAGTTGATCGTCGCCGCCGCCGTAGCGCACGGGCAGCGGCTCCAGTGCTTTCGCCGCGAGCGGCAGCGTTACGCCGCTGGCCACGAGCAGCGACTGCGACCGTAATTGCATTGCTTGCGCCGAGAGCGGCAGGGCTACGCCGCCGCCGCCGACCAATGCAGCGCGGCGTGTTACGCGCATTGCTGCTGTCGTTGCCAACAAGGCCAGGCATGGCCAGCGGCGCGGCATGGCGCGAGAGCGAGTCGAGGCACTGGGCTGCCTCGGCACCGAGAGTCAAGATCCTGATCAGTATCGCCACGCAGCAATGGCGAAGCGCTCGCGTGGCTCATGGTGCGGTGACAACAAGGGAGAAAAGAAGCCGCGTTTATTGCCGCCGATGAAGGTGCCGGGGCATCTGCGCGGGTCGGACGGGACGCCGAGCGTGCCGGTCTTCCACGAGCGCGAATTTCAAGGCGGCACAAGGGCGTGGTACCGCATCATGCAGAGTGACACGGTCCAAGAGGCGGAGGGCGCTGTGGGCGGCTCACAGTCGCCTGAGGCGTCGCTCCTCTTGCGCGGCCTCGTCAGGGGCATGGTCCGCCGCGGCGCCGTGGACAGCGAGACGTGCCGCGCTTACGACGCGGTCGCGTACAAGGTCGAGGAGATCATGGACGCCAAGCGCGTGGCAGACGGCGGCGTCCCCTGCACGGACCCGACGCGACGGCTTTACGTCGACGCGCACCGGGACGAGCTCGCCGAGCTCCCGGGCTACAACCTCACAAGAATATTCGAGCGCCCGATCCGCGAGCGTCCTGGCTCGCGGACGTCCACGCAGATCATGACCTACCGGCCGCCGGTCCGGCCGCTGCGGAGCCGCCTCTGGGACGGCGGCATGGCGCCCCACATCGACGGCCCCATCACTTCAAAAAGTTTGAGAGAAAAAGAACGAAAATGCGAGAACCGCGCGTGTTTCCAGGTCGCAGGAGACGGCGTCCTCGTTGTCGGCCTTCAGGTCGTCAACGAGGACGGCTTCGCGACGACGACCGCGATGAAAAACATCGGCGTCCTTTGTTTTATCGAGATCCCCCTGTCACAGGGAGATTCTTACCTGCTCACTGAGAAGCTGGCAGGGCGGATCACGGTCGCCGCGCGCGCGCGCGGCGGCGATTTCGATGCCGTCCGCGTCGTGCACGGCGTGCGGGGAGTGAGCGCGCGCCGCGCGCTCGTGACGATCACGTCGCGCATCCCGGGCGCGGAGGAGTAAATCGGGTCTAGTAACGCCGTGCGCGCCGCGGCCGACGACGACGAGATCGACCCGTCGAATGGCCATGCTGCTGGCTCGGACGGGGGCGGCGAGTACCGCGACGACGGGGCGGCCACGAGGGGACCGGCGCGCACCCGGGTCGCGAGCGCGTCCGGGTTGGTGCGGTCGATGTTGCCGGCGGCGCAAACCTCGCCGCATGCGAGATGGTCGAGCCGAAAGACGACGACGAGCTGCGCGCTAGTGAGCGCGCCTACAACGCGCTCTTCGAGCGGGGCGCCGCCAACGCCGCCGCCGCGGCAACCTCCTGCCCGTCGCCGCCAGCGCCCCTCGCTGCGGCGCTTCCGGCTCCTCCCGCTCGTAGCTCAGCAGAGATCGCGACTAGGAATCGTACCGACGCCGCCGCGCGGCGCGCCGCGCGCGCTCCGGCGCGTCGGACGACGGCCGCGCGGCACGGCGCGCGGCCCGACGCGCCGGAGCGCGCGCTGACGCCGAACGGGCGGCGCAGCGTGACGTTCCACGGGAAGACGCTGGGCCTCGTCCTCGCGGTCCGCGGCGGCGAGCACGTCCGCGTCCAGAAGATCAAGGACGGCGCCGCCGAGGCGCGGGCCATGGGCATCGAGGTCGGCGACCTCGTGTTCGCCATCGCCGGCGAGACCATGACCAAGGGCATGGCCATCGCGGACGTCGCGGCGAAGATCCAGACCGCGGAGCGGCCGCTCGAGCTCAAGCTCTTCCGCCCCTCCTACAAGCGGCGCATGCGGCCCGACGCGCCGGAGCGCGCGCTGACGCCGAACGGGCGGCGCATCCCCAACGCGTGGACGGCCGAGGAGGAGCTCGCGCTCTACGACGGGCTCTACATGTACGGGCGGAACTTTAGCAAGATCCTGGAGGAGTACGAGGTCTTCTCGCTCAACGGCCGGACGAACGGCGACCTGCAAGGCAAGTGGGACACGTCCATGCTCCGGATCAAGGCGGTGACGTTCTACGGCGCGACCATCGGCCTCTCGCTCGCGGTCCGCGACGGCGAGCACGTCCGCGTCGCGAAGGTCGAGAACGACGCCGCCGAGGCGCGGGTCCTGGGCATCAAGGTCGGCGACCTCGTGCTCGCCATCGCCGGCAAGCCCGTGCCCAAGGGCGTGGCCATCGCGGACGTCGCGGGGAAGATGAAGCGCGGGCCGCTCGAGCTCACGCTCCTGCTGCGGCAAGCTCACGCTCCTGCTCGGGCCGGACCGCTGTTTTTGTTCTCGCCGCCGCGGGTCCCTGCGGGGCGCCACGTTGCGCCGATGCCGTTCGGCTTAGTCCATTTGTGGATGGAGCGGCCCCGGTCCGCGCCCGCCGCGGACGCGCTCGCCGCCGCCCGCGACTTCCTCGACGCGCTCGCCGTCGCCGATGGCGTGCCGGCGGCGAAGCGCGCGCGGGAGCGGGACCTCACGCCGCGCCGGACCAAAAAGAGCCGACTGTCGTCGCTGCCGACGCCGCGGGACCTCGCGGCCTCGCGCCCGAGCCCTTCGGCGTCGCGACCGCCGTCGCCGGCGGACGAGTACGACTTGCCGCCGCTGGACGATGGCGCGCGCCCGGACGACGACGCGCCGCCGTCCGGGGGCGTGCTCCCCGTGCCGTTTCCCGAGCTTCCCTCCCCCTCCCTCCTGCCGGCCGCCGCGTCCTTCGCGACGGAGAGGGAGATCGAGTCCGAGTCCGAGTCCGAGTCCGAGGCGATCGAACGCATGCTCATGCCGCCGACGCGGCCGCCGCGGCCGGCGCCCGCGGCGCCCGCGGCGCCCGCGGCGGCGGCCGCGCCCGCGGCGGCGGCCGCGCCCGCGGCGGCGGCCGTGCCGACGGCGGAGCAGCTGACCTTCGCGGACGTGCGCATCAGCGAGGCCGGCTTCGACGCGTCGGTGCCGGTGTCCACCGCGCCGGAGCCGTTGCCGTTGCTATTGCTGTCCGTGAGCCTGGAGTCCGAGGTGGTGCGGCTGGGGCTGGAACGCGAGAACCCGGAGCAGGCCGTGAGCCCCGCGCGCGCCGCTTTCCTCGAGGCCTGGGAGGGCGAGACCCAGCTCGGCGTCAACATCTTCTTGAAGGACCCGTTCGAGCGAAGGTACTACGGCCGTCGACATGGCATCGAGTCCGGCGAGCCCGTGTCGACCGTCCTCGACGAGGTCGCGAAGGAGTACGGCGTCTGCGCCGCCTGGCTCCGGGTCCTTTTTGACGGGCGCCGGCTCTCCAGACGCGAGACCCCTCGGGACCTGTCCATGGAGGCCTTTGATCTCCAGCTCCGCGGCCTCAGCCTCGACCACGACGAGGCGAAGGACCGCGTGAACTTGGACATGGAGAACGTCCGCGTCTTCGAGGTCGACGTCGTCATCGACGACATCTACCGCGGCTGCTCGGTCGTGGCCATCGAAGACGGCGCGGCGACGCCCTAACCGTTTTATTAGGTCTCGTAAGGACTCGGAGTGTGTTTTACACGCTGTTGAACCGCAACATGCTTCACCTCCGACCGCCAAAAAGCGCCTCGCCATCGCGCGTCACCCGCGATGTTGCAGTTCGCAGGGGAGAAGGCACACCACGATTTTGCCACGATTTTGTCACTTCACCGTCAGTGCTCCTTGACGTCGTGGTTGGCGATATTGCCACTGCTTCTCCACGCAGCCAGGCTTCCCTCGTCCGGCGACACCACAAGTTCCAGTTCTGGATCGCAGCTGACGATGGCTTCCGCGGCCGCCACGGTCCTCGCGATCCTCCTCGGCGCCAAGAAGGCGACGGCGACCCTCGACGCCTGCACGGCGCTGGCCATCGACGCGGCGGCGATGAAGGACGGCGTCACCGTCGTCACGCACACGAGCGACTGCGCCAACTGCGACTTCCGCCTCGGCCGCGTCGACCCGGAGAACCTCGAGGACCCCGTCGTCGTCCGCCGCTACCGGCCCAACTACCCGACGGAGGTGTCGAACCGGTCCGCGAGCTGGCGCGCGTCGTCGCTCGAGTACGCCGCGATCGATCTGGACCTCGTCGCGCCGCCCTTCGAGAACGGCGCCCTCGCCGCGGCGCAGGAGCGCGCCTGGGCCGGCGCCGACTGGCAGGCGACGTACACGCTCGGGTTCCTCGAGCTCGACGAATTGAAGACGTTGGGCAAAGGCGCCGCGGCGTACGGTTCCGTGGAGTCGCAGTACGGCATCGCGAACGACGCGGGCCTCGCCATGGGCGAGTCGACCTGCGAGGCGAAATTGGGCGGCGCGCTGCCGCGGGCCTGCCCGACCTGCGACGGGCCCCTCGTGGACATCACGCAGCTCACGCGGCTCGCGCTGCGCGCGTGCGCGACGGCGCGGTGCGCGATCCGGTTCATGGGCGCTGTGGCCGAGAAGCACGGCTACTACGCCGCGGAGCTCGTGCCCGGGGAGGCCGGCGAGGCGTTGACCATCGGCGACGGCCGCGAGTCCTGGATGTTCCACATTCTTCCGGATAAAAAGGGCACGTCGGCCGTCTGGGCCGCGGGGAAAGTCCCGCGGGGCCACGTCGCGCCCGTCGCCAACGCCTTCGTGCTCCGGGGCATCCCCGAGGAGGCCTACGCCGAGTCCGACGACCGCACGGCCTGCCTCTGGGAGGAGGCGCCCTACGCGGCCACGGACGACGCGTGCGCGTACTTGGCGTCGACGAATCTGGAGACCGAGGCCGTCGAGGCGGGGCTTCTCGAGAAGGACGACCGCGGCTTGTTGGATTTCGCCAAGACCTACGGCACGGACCCAAAGACAGCACGACCCAACGCCATGTTCCTCTACTCGACGCGGCGCCAGTGGCGCGTCATGAGCTTGGTCGCGCCCGCGGCGACGGCGGCGTTCGTCGACGCGGCAAACGGCGCGCCCGACGTCCTCGGGTCGGAGCTGCCCTGGTCCGTCAAGGCGGAGAAGGCGCTGAGCGTCCACGACATCCTCGCCATCAA